ACACGCTCCGCATCCGCATGCCGTGCACTCGTACGGGCGGCTGCAACGGCTGCATCATCGCGCAAGATATGTCGGCAGATGGCGGCTCCACCCGGACCGGCCTCTTGCTGGTCTGGAATGAGAGGCGGCACAAGTGCGCTCTCCAACTCGAGCAGCTCGAGGCGCCTTCCCCGTCTGCCGGCATCGCCGCCACACAGGCGATCGACCCGGCAAACACTGTCACGCCGGGAGGGCCGCCTTTGCCACAGACGGCGACAGCCACGCAGGCGGCTGAGGTGGACACCGGGGCAGTCGCAGAAAGAGCTAAGGCAGAGGAGCCCGCACTGGCACCTCTGGTGGCAGAAAAGCAGGGCTTGCGCTTGCACCTCTCCAGCAGCAGCAGCACCGGCTACATGGGCGTGTGCGAGCACCCCTCCACTGGCCGCTTCGAGGCGAAGCACCGGGTGGACGGAAGGCCGGGCGCGGATCGGACTGCAGGCCTACGCCGCCGCCTTTGATGCCGAGGGCTATAATGACATCGAGTACCTCGAGGGGCTAGACGCCGCCGAGCGGGCCGAGGTGGCAACGGAGACGGGTATGAAGCCCGGGCACGCGGGCCGGTGGGGCAAGTACGGCTTTGGGGAAGCCTGAAGTGACGGGTGTTAGTCACGCCGTATGTGTGCCAGCGCGACGTGCGACGTGCGCCGCTAGTGCCCTGCTGCCCACCCTATGACCAAGATATTTTATAATTCTGTTGCGGGCGGTGTTGGGGCGCTGGCCGCGCTGCCAGGGCGGATGCGGGATATGGGGGAACGGTCGCCAATGGCAATGCAGTCATCGCGCGGCGAGAGCGCCGGGCTTTCAAGTACAACTACAAGCTCCTCAAGCGGCACATGCACATGCACATGCTGAGAGGGAGCCAGAGGCCGTCGGCGGCCGCCGACGGCGACAGGGATCTCGGATCGCGATGAAAATTTCAACTTTATACACGCGTCGTCGCCGTCGGCCGGTCAGTGAGGTCAGAGGTGCGATCGTCGTGCGGGCCGAAGCGCGAAGGCTTTTTCAAGTATTCAACCTCTTTTCCTTACGGCATCGTTCGTTTTGCGTGTCAGGTGACGACCCCCCCCCCCCCCCCTCCCCCCCCCAATACAATGTTTGATCTTGATAGACACAGGCGAAGATCATCATGATCACTCAATGCACTGCCTCCAAACAACTCCGAACTCGGCCCCACATCGCGGAAGCCCCTCACCCGCACGCCACCGCCGCGCTGCCTCCCAACCTGTTGATGAGCGCCCGCTTCGCCACGCGCACTCCTGTGGGGAAAGTTCCGGGAGGGTTCGTGGAAGGCGCCGAGCGTCCTGCTCGCGCGGCGGAGAGAGGAGTCGCGCCGTACGAGAAGCGAGACGACGGCCACATCGCCTCCAGCTCGGCCGCCGCCTGTGCATCGGGCCCCTCTTGTGGGAAGAAAGTGCGGCAGCGTGCGGGCGTCGGGCAAATCTGTGGATGGATGGCTGTGAATGGAGGTGGAGTGCCCTGGAGGCTCGGCCTCATCTCGGCGAAACCTCGGTCAAATGACGGCTGCTGCATCTCGGCTGTAGCTCGACCCCAGCTCGGCTGCCTCTCGGCTGCCTCTCGGCTGCCTCTCGGCTGCCTCTCGGCTGCTTCTCGGCTGCCTCTCGGCTGCCTCTCGATCTCGCCTGCAGCCGCAGCTCTCTTGACGCCATCAGGCGCAGCGACGCGCAGCGTTCGGCGGAGAGCGGCGCCGCGACGACCTGTTCACAGCGGTTGACTGTGAAGAGGAGGAGCGGCCACCTCCGCTGGCGAGAGGAAAGGGCCGCGGCCATCTCGGGCACTCTCTCGGGCTCTCTCGGGCACTCTCGGGCACTCTCTGGTAATCTCGGGCACTCTCGGGCACTCTCGGGCACTCTCGGGTAATCTCGGGCAATCTCGAATACTCTCGACCACGATCGCCGCCAGCGCCGCGCGGACAGCGCCTTCCTTGGTCAGCACAGGCTGCCGCTCGTTCGGGTCGACGAACCTGGTGGTTGGTTCTCCGCATCGATTATGTCGTCAAACCAACGGCTAAGTGTTCGCTCGCTCGGGCGACGAACCTGGTGGTTTGGTTTTATTCAAGGAGTCAGTCAGTAGCGATCCGGGGCCTTACCCGCTTGCTTCGGTCTCCAGTATCCCAAACGATCTCGGGCAATCTCGGGCAGTCTCGCGCATTCTCGCGCCTCTCCAGTATCCCCAGCGCCGCGTCGAAGCAACTGTCACTGTCGCACCGCTCCGCACCGCGCAGCAACACCAGCGAGGGAGCGCGGGCCGCCGTCGCCGCCGCCAAGTGCCTCTCCAGCCTCTGCTGGCAAGGGCCACCGTCGCCGGCGGCGGCGTCGGCGGCGGCGGCGGCGGCGGTGCAATCCTCGACGGTCATCTCGAGCACGCCTACAAAAAGAAATCGCGGTGCCGCCCGCACTTCTTCCCTTCGGCGCACTCGCCGTGGCCTCGCGCGCACCTCCCATATCTCCCCATATCTCCCCATATCTCGCCGTGGCCTCGCGCACACCTCCCATATCTCCCATATCTCCCATATCTCCCCATATCTCCCGATATCTCCCCATATCTCGCCGTGGCCTCGCGCGCACTTCCTCTCGAGGCGAGGCTCCGGAGGGAGCGAAGGAGCTGCGCCGCCGCGCCGCCTGCAGGACATGTCTCGGACATGTCATGGGCGTGTCCTGGACATGGCAGCAGCCGCACAGCCGCACCGCCGCCTTGCGGGTCGGAGAGCAGAACCAGTCTATTCACAGCAGAGAGGTGTGAAGAGACGCCGTTCACCGAGTCCGCAGTAGCGGGTCGGAGAGCAGAATCAGCCTGGAGGCCGCGAAGCTGCGAGGGTCGGCGGCGCCAGCGCGCCAGGCATCCGCCCAGTCCCGCACCTACGCGTGGATGCGCACGTGCTGAATTCATTTGGGGTGTGAACACGGTCTCGCGCAGAGCTCTCAGGGCACCGCGTGGACACGAGGGCTGCAGATACAGCGGAGTACAGCGAAGTACAGCGGATACAGTGCATACGAATACGGTGCATACAGCTGAACGCAGCGGAGTGCGTGTCTTCTCGAGCGCTGGCTGGAAGACAAGAACGCGTGTTTCGCTTCTAGGCTTCTGACGGCGGCCGCCGACGCCGACCCTTCTCCAAGTAGTCTGCCAACCAACGCGCCGTCGAGAGGAGGCACCACCGCCGCCCCTCCTGGCCCTGCGGTGTGATTACACCAGCGTCGGGGTGTGGGGGTACGGAGGCGGCAGAGCACGAGATATGGGGAGATATGGGGAGATCTGTGGGAGATGTGGGGAGATAGTGCCGCGTAGTCAGGCCGCCGAGCACAGCGAACACGGAAGACAGCGGAATGCTGTTGAGTAGTCGGCACTGCAAGGATTGCCGCATCTCTAAAACTCCTCCGCCGCCGCCGCCGCCGCCGCCGCCGCCGCCGCCGCCGCCGCCGCCCCGATGGGCCAGGGCCATGGCGAGGGCCAGCAGGGCCAGGCCGGCAGTCCATGTCAGCTGTGGCGGCGACCCCGCCTACTCTCGCGGCCAATCTCGCCTGATCTCGCCAAATCTCGGCTGGCCTCGAGGTTTGGCCGCTATGCCCGCCCGCTCAAGGCCTCTCGCGGCTACCGCCGCCGCTCCCAGCGCGATGGCGGGGGCGAGCGGGACGAGCTGCGCGGCCAGCCTCGCCGCCAGCTGCGCCACGCCTGCTTCACACCCCGATGCTGTGAAAAGACTGCCCGCCTCTCGTCTCGCCTCGCTGCTTTATCCAACGGTAGTGCACCGGCGGCCGTCCGGCGAAGGGCTACGGCGACGGCAGCGGCAGCGCTGCGCAGCTGCGGCAGCGCCTGCTGTGCTGCGCCCGGCGAGACCGCCGCCGACGCGCCGCCGTCGGCGGCCGCAGCACACCCGACGAGGCAGCCGCAAATCAGCGCTCCAGCGAGGAGGGCGAGCAGCGAGCGGCGGAGGCACGGCCGCTTGACGGCGGTGGAGGCGGACGCGCCGGCGGGCGGCGGAGCGGCCGCCTGCGTCGCCTCCGGCACCTCCGCCGCGGCAGGCGCGTCGGCAGCAGCGCGGACTTCCGGTGGCGGCGGAGACGCCGGCTGTCGGCCTGCCCTGGTGCGGACACGAGGCGCTGCGGGTGCCGACTTGGGACCGGCGGCAGCCGCAGCCGCTGCGTCCGCCGCCGCTTTGCTGCGACGCCGGGTGGTGACGCCCGAAGAGGACGCGGGGGACTTGTTACCGCTCTTGCGCGGCGGCATGGCGGGCCGCGCAAAAAAAAGAATTCGACATTCACTCCTTTCCAAAAGAGAAGTGAAAAAGAAGCCGCGAGAACAAGGGACCGGCAGGCGGCGGCGTCGCAGGACGAGGCAGAAGAGAACGACGCGACAGAGGAGGAAGTGACAAGGGAGAGACCGACGAGAGTGGGACGGCCGCGAGGTGGCATGAAGGTTGCAGCGAGAAGCGGCGAGAGACTGCGAAAAGAGATACGAAGAGGCAGACTCCCCAGGGTGGGCGACGGCTAGCGCATCACACTCCTCTCCTTAAAATCCCTGTGTGGTGGCGGCGTGCCGTTCTCCCATCCCTCCCTTGGGTTGTGTGTTTTCTTTCTTAGAATTGAAAAAGCAAGATGTTTCGACCGGCATGGCGTGAGCGGCGGCGATCGGTCCCTAACCTGCGGTCCTTCACCGCAATCGGTCCTTCGCGCTCGTCCCTAACCCAAAAAAGCACGATTCTGAAGTTGGGCCCTCACTGTGCTGCGTCGAAGCACCGGGCCCGAGTCCGCAAGAGAAACAAACAAAGGCACAACAAACAACAGAGTGACTGGGCAGGAAGTAAGATGCGAGGCTAGAGCAGCCTTGCTCCACCTCTAGCAATCTCGCTGGCCCGGAACCACCTTCTTCTCCTCGTGGCCCGGCGTGGAGCAATTCTTTTTCTTGGCGGGTTGATCGCTTTGCCTCTCTCGCCGGTGCACCTCATGCCGAAGCGCGATCGCGAGCACGATCGGTGGGGAGTTCTCGTGCCTCACAACCCGCTGTGCGGAGCTCCCGTCCCGCTCTGCAGTCCGACGGTCGTCATCGGCCGCGAGGGTGACGTCACTGCGCCGTGCAATCCGCATCTCTCGAGGAAGCACATCCGGCTCGAGCGAGACGCGGCCGGCGCCGTCTACGTCACGCACCTCTCGGCGACGAATCGGACCTACCTCAACGGCCGCCAACTAGCGCGCGACGTTGCGGTCCGTGTCGAGCCAGACCAGGGCAACGCACCGTTTTCTCTTCCCGGTGAGGCGGCGGACGCGCCGCTGCTGTTTGCGTCCTGGCGGAACGCGGAGGAGGCGCGCGCGGCGCTGGCGGACGAGCACGTCCGCGGGTGGTGCGGTTGGACTCTCCGCTTCGACGACAGCGGCCAGGAGACGCGCGGAGGTGGCTCTGCCGCCGCCGCCGCCAAGAAGATGGCATGACGACCCTCTTCCACAACCGACGGCGGCGTCTTCATTTTAAAGGGCTTGCTTAATAATTCATAGGCGTGGCTGGTGCCTCTCCCCGCCGACGGCGGTCGCGCTGCGGCCGCTGCCGAGCCGGCGGGAGGCGCAGAGGCGGAGGCCGAGCCCAAACAGCAGATTGCCAGCCGTGCGCCGCCACCACTGCAGCCGCCGCCACCGCAGCCGCCGCCGCCGCCGCAGCGGCTGCCGCCGCCGCTGTCGCGGCTGCAAGTGCTCGTGGTGCGCACAGCGGTGCCGGCGGGGAGGGGAGATGCCGACTGGTACGGTGCACAGAGCGGGCTCTGGGGCTTCCCCAAGGGACACCTCGAGGCGAGAGGAGCCGAGAGGCGCCGAGAGGAGGCCGAGATGCGCCGAGATGCGCCGAGATGCGCCGAGTTGCGCCGAGATGCGCCGAGATGCGCCGAGTTGCGCCGAGATGAGCCGAGAGGAGGCCGAGATGAGCCGAGAGGCGCCGAGAGGCGCCGAGATGCGCCGAGAGGCAGCCGAGAGTTGCCGAGAGTTGCCGAGATTTGCCGAAGGGCACATCCATGCGAGGGGGGCGCGGCGAGCTGGCCAATCTCGGCCAATCTGGGCGCTGATCTCGGCCAATCTCGGCCAGCAGGCGAGCGACGGCAGCGAGCTGGCGGCGGCTGTACGCGAGTTTGCCGAGGAGACGGGGAGTCGGTGTGCCGTACCCTGAGATCCGCGCCTTCTTGCACGCGTCCGAGTGTTTCGTGTCTTAGGAGACGGGCCTGTGCGTGCCGCCCGCCTCGCTGGAGGGGTGTGTGGACTTGGGCGTCGGCATGTGCAACAGCAGCGGCGCAAAGACACTTCGCGCCTTCGCGGCGGAGGCATGGGAGGGGCTCGCCGAGGCGAGCGGCGGAGGACGCTCTTTAGCGCGCACGCGGCCGGGTGTGCCGGGTGGGCGTGATCGAGTGGTGAGCGGGAGCCTCTCTTCACAGCTCTGGGGTGTGAACAGGCGAGCCGCAGGAGGTCGACCTGATGGAGTGGTGGGGCGGCGGCGAGGGCTGTGGCCCCGAGTGAGGTGAACTCGACGGACTGAAGCGTTCGCATCTATGAACCAGGTGGCCGGCGGCGAGGGCGGTGGCGCCTCCGTGGCGGAAGGGCGACGCGGTGCAGCGGTGCTCCGGTGGCGCCAGGCCCCGCATCGGCGTCCGCCCGCCCAAGCCAACCCGCCGCCGTTGACAGTCTAAGGACCATTACACACTTCATCAGGCATCCGCCCGCCCAAGCCAACCCGCCGCCGTTGACAGTCTGCTGACCATTACACACTTCATCAGGCATCCATCCGCCCAAAAGTCGGTTCGTCAAGCTGCTCGCCCGCCGGCTGCTGCAGCAGGGGCGCGCCGCCGCGGACGCGGACGCCGAGGAAGGAGGAGGCGAGTGGTGGCGGTTGGAGGAGGGGGGGGCGGCGGCGGTGAGGAGCGGGCGGGGTGCATCTCGCTGCTCGGTCCATCGCTCTCATTGATCGAGCGAGTGCGTAGGCGGAGAGCAGAGGCCGGGAGCACTCTTGCGGGCTGCTCGTGTACCGGTTCGAGCCGGCGGCCGGGGCAGAGCAGCAGCAGCCGCCGCCGCCGCCGCCGCAGCAACCACTGCAGCAGCAGCCGCTGCAGCAGCAGCAGCAGCAGCAGCAGCAGCCGCAACAGCCGCAGCCGCAGCTAGGTGGCAGCAGCGGAGGAGGCAGCCGTTTGGCGGCTGCGGCGAAGGAAGCGGCGGAGGAAGCGGCGGAGGCGGAGGGTGCTGCCGCGGCGGCTGTTGCCTCGGAGGCACCGTCGGCGGCGGCCAGGGCCTTAGTCGCGTGCCTTACGGCCGGCGGCGGCGGCGGCGGCCCGGAGGCGCGACACGGCGCCTGCTCCCCAGCGCACCATTTTGACTCTTTGGCAGGCATGTTTCTTTTCTCATTCATAGGCGCGACACGGCGCCTGCTCCCCAGCGCACCACGGAGACCCTCTTCACAGCAGTCTCTTGTGTTTCGTTTTCTTAGGGCTTCGCTTCCCCGCCGTCTCAGAGCCGCAGCGGCGGTGCTTTGGTGGCCTGCTACCTCGGCGGCGCCGGCGCCTCCTCCTCTAACGACGGCGGCGGTGGTGGCGGTGGCGGCAGGGGTGACGGCGGGGGCGGCGGCGGGGGCTGCGGCGGGGGCTGCGGCGGGGGTTGTGGCGGGGGCGAGGCTTCGTCGGCGAGGGCGGCGCATGCTTTCGTGTGGGACGGCGTGCTGCGGCGCGAGCTGGAGGAGGCGGCAGTCCGCGGCGCTTCTGTGCGGGACAAGGCGCAGCGAGAGTTAGTGGCTGAGTAGCTGACGCAGCTACGAGTGTTGAGGAGGGTTCCTCATGGAGGGTTAACAGGGCATTTAGCCAATAGTTACTTGTCTGTTGACGGTTGCGGGACAAGGCGCAGCTCGCTCGAATCGCCGCCGAGAACGGCCGGCTCGTCGAGGCGGTTGGGGAAAAAAACACGCGACGCCCCCCCCGAGGAAAAGAAGGCTGTGAACAGGCCGGCTCGTCGAGGCGGGGCGGTACACCGACGCCGCCGGCCAGGAGCACAGCTTGGCGCTGCCGCGAGGCGCCGTCAACCGCGCGATCGCCGCGCCCGCAAGCGCAGGGCGGACTTGCCGCCGCCGCATGATGCGACGGCCCGTGAGGAGGCGCTGTTCACACCTCGAGCTGTGAACAGGCGGCCGCTCCCGCCGCGGCACGGCTCGACGAGAGTGTGCGTGGCTCGCGTGGACACGGCGACGGCGCTGCGGCTGATGACTGCGCGGGTCGGCTCGGGGCGCGTCGCCGCGCTCAACTTTGCGAACGTGCACAAAGGGGCGGAGGGAGGCTGGCTCGTGAGAGAGGGAGTGGGAGTGGCGAGTCGCGCGGTCTCATAGGCGCACCACGCCGGCGGAGGCTACCTGACGGGCGCGCGCGCGCAGGAGGAGGACCTGTGCCGGTACCGAACCTACTTGTTCATTGTTGATCCGTTCGTTCACCGCTAGTTCGTAGGAGGAGGACTTGTGCCGGCTGATGCCGCGGCTGCACCCGTCGCTGCTGCGGCTGCGCTACCCGATGGGGGAGCGTGTCGCCTTCTACACGCAGACGTTGCTCTGCCGCTCTGCCGGATCGTACGCTCTCGAGCACCCGATCTAGAAGCAAGCAGTGTACGTAGTCTTGTAGTCCAGCCCGCGCTCTTGAGGACACGCCCTCTGCTGTGCCCGCTCCCCACCTCTCAGCGGTATTCACTGTATTTGCAGCCCTCGTGCTCACGCGGTACTGTGGAGACTCTGCACAAGACCGTCCTCCCGCCCCGATGCCGGCGTATGCACCGCGCAGGCGGCCCCCACCCCTCCCTCCCCACATCTCCCCACATCACCCCATCTCTCCCCCCCTCTCCCCATCTCTCCCCATCTCTCCCCATCTCTCCCCACCTCTCCCCACCTCTGCCTACCTCTCCCCACCTCTCCCCACCTCTCCCCACCTCTCCCCACCTCTCCCCACACCTCCCCACACCTCCCCACACCTCCCCACACCTCCCCACACCTCCCCACCCCTCCCCACCCCTCCCCACCCCTCCCCACCCCTCCCCACCCCTCCCCACCTCTCCCGCGCAGGCACCCGCCCCTCCTCGTCGACGTCGTCTCTGCGGCGATGCCAAACCTCCGCGGCGGGCGAGGCCGCTCGAGTCTGGTCGCGGGCTCGGAGGCGTGGGAGGCGACGGTGCGCGCGCGGCTGCGGGCCGTGCTGCACGCGGCGAGAGAGCAGAGGAGCGGACGGCCTCGAGCTCGGAGATGAACTGATGGACAGGATTAATCAACATTGTGATTCATTAATAGGTGCGACGGCCTCGAGCTCGGAGAGGAACTGAGGGGCAGTCTCAATTCAGATTGTAATCAACTAACGTAGGTGCGATGGCCTCGTGCTCGGCGCCTTTGGTTGCGGCGCGTTTGGCAACCCGCCCGACAAGGTGGCGCCGCCCTGCTCTCTGCTGTTGAAAGATCGTAGGGACGCGGGTTGGTCGCAGGGCGCTCGGGTCGCCCCGGAGCGGCTCCGCGCGGGGAGGTGGGTGGAGGGCGGACCGCCATCGGGTAGGCCACCCCTTAGACTCTCTCCCTGACACCTCGCCCCCTCCCCCCCTTCGCCGCGGTGCGCGGTGTGTGAGCGATCTCTCTTTTCACCTCCAGCCGTGACACAAGGTGGCGCCCCTCTTCGCCGCGGCGCTCGCCTCGGGCGAGTTCCGCGGCGCGTTCGCGCAGGTTGCCTTTGCCATCCTCGAGCCGAAGGGGTCGGATGCGGGCAATGTGGCCGCCTTTGAGCGCGCGTGTGGGCCGGGGCAGGGAGGGCTCTGCGCCATCGCCGCGCCTCCGCCCGCCGCGCACTCGGCCGCGGCAGCGGGGCGGGCGGAGAGGCGGGCGCAGCCGCGGGCGGGGGAGCGGACGGGGGCGGGGGCGGAGGCGGGGGTGGGGGGGGCGGAGGCGGGGGTGGGGGGGGCGGAGGCGGAGGCGGAGGCGGAGGCGGAGGAGGCGGAGTGGTGCTCTGAGGAGCCGCGCACGAGGCAGACCATCTTCCGCGGCGTGCGGCTCCTCGTGGCGACGCGGCTGCGCAAGCAGGTGCAGGAGGAGGTGGTGCGGCGCGGCGGCGGGGCGGTGGTGGGCGGAGTGCACGAGGCGATCGCACGCTGCACTCGAGTCGACCCGCCGCCGTTGACCGAGTACCTGGAGATGGGTTAATCAACTGATTAGGCGACGCACGTTTCACTCGAGTCGCCCCGCCGCGCTAAGGATCTGGTCTTCCTGGCCACCCTGCCGAAGGACAAGTGGCCGCGGCTCGTCACGCAGGAGCGGGGTCCCATATCTCCGCAGCAGACTCCCCACATCTCCCCATCTCTCCCCACACCTCCCCACATCTCCCCACACCTCCCCACATCTCCCCATATCTCCGCAGCAGACTCCCCACATCTCCCCATATCTCCCCACACCTCCCCACATCTCCCCATATTTCCCCACATCTCCCCACACCTTCCCACATCTCCCCATATCTCCCCATATCTCCCCACATCTCCCCATATCTCCCCACACCTCCCCACATCTCCCCATATCTCCCCACATCTCCCCCTATCTCCCCACATCTCCCCACATCTCCCCATATCTCGTCGCGCAGGAGGGGTCCCATATCTCCCCGTATCTCCCCATATCTCCCCACATCTCCCCACACCTCCCCACATCTCCCCACATCTCGTCGCGCAGGAGTGGGTCGGGCAGTGCTCCAAGATCCTCTCTGCCGACGGGGCGAGGACGGACGTGCTGCGCAAGCACCACCACCCCGACTCGCGTGGCGGCGCCTAAAAGGAAGCCGTGCCGGACCGCCTTTCTTTGTTCCCTAGGCACCAGCACCCCGACGCCCTGGCGCTAGCCCGCGAGCCCGACTCCCCCGCCTCTTCGGCCGGCGGGTCCCAGCCCCAGCCAGGAGGGAGGGGCGGCGGCGGCATCGGCGGCGGCGGCGGCGGCATCGGCGGCAGGAGGGGGGGCGGGGGCGGAGGAGGAGGTGGTGGAGGAGGAGGAGGCTCGTCGGCCGCAGCGGCGGCTGCCCCACCCGCCGCCGCCGCCGGGGATGGCGCGACCTCCTCCGGTCCTCCTCGCTGGGGCGTCTGCCAGCCCTTTGCCGCCGACGTGGTGGGTGGCGACGCCCTCCTCGGCGGAATGCGCGTGCGCGTCGCCACAGACGCGCACCCGGTCTGGGGGGGCGCGCTGGGCGTGGCCGCTGAGGACGGCGCGGCCGACGGCAGCTTCAAGGCGTTGCGGAGGCCGGCAGCGGCTCTGTGAGTGTGAACGGCGTCTCTTCACACCTGCAGCTGTGAACAGGTGCATCTCGACAGCGGCTCGTGCGTCGTCGTCGCAGCCGCATCGCTCGAGCCCGCAGCCTCGCGCCCCATCCCTCGCCGCGTGCCCGACGCGAAGGTGTGCTCACTGAGAGTCCCCCCAGAGTACCCCAGAGTACCCCAGAGTACCCGAGAGTACCCGAGATCGCCCGAGATGACTCGAGAACCCCCGAGATTACTCGAGATTGCTCGAGGTCGCTAGGATTCTCCTCTCCTCGCCTCGCCTCTCTTCTCCTCTCCTCGCCTCGCCTCTCTTCTCCTCTCCTCGCCTCTCCTCGCCTCTCCTCTCCTCTCCTCTCCTCGCCTCTCCTCGCCTCGCTTCTCCTCTCCTCGCCTCGCCTCTCCTCTCCTCTCCTCGCCTCTCCTCGCTTCTCCTCGCCTCGCCTCTCCTCGCCTCTCCTCTCCTCGCCTCGCCTCTCCTCTCCTCGCCTCGCCTCTCTTCTCCTCTCCTCGCCTCGCCTCTCTTCTCCTCTCCTCTCCTCGCCTCGCCTCGCCTCTCCTCTCCTCGCCTCGCCTCTCTTCTCCTCTCCTCTCCTCGCCTCGCCTCTCCTCTCCTCTCCTCCTCCTCGCCTCTCCTCTCCTCGCCTCGCCTCTCCTCTCTTCTCCTCTCCTCGCCTCTCCTCTCCTCGCTTCTCCTCTCCTCGCCTCGCCTCTCTTCTCCTCTCCTCGCCTCTCCTCGCCTCGCCTCGCTTCTCCTCGCCTCTCCTCCTCCTCCCCTCTCTCCTCTCCCCTCCCCTCTCTCCCGCTCACAGAGATATGGATTCATCGATTGGCTGATAGCCCCTCGAATTAGTTAATTAATCAGTAGTCGCCTCGTCCGTGGAGCGAGATTAGCCGAGACCTGTCGATGTTCGCCGAGGTTCGCCGAGATTGCTCGAGATCGTCTTGATGCATCGAGATCAACAGCCAACGGCGTGTCCGCGAGCGGGGTGAGAGATGGCGCCGAGAGACGGCGCGAGCAGTGCGGTCAGTGTCTTGTACGCGCCGAGATCTGCCGAGATCCCCGAGATCGCGATGAGCCGAGATGACGCGAGATTACCCGAGACTGTGATGAGCTGAGATTACCCGAGATCGTGATAGCCGAGATTACCCGAGCTCGATGAGCCGAGATTACCCGAGATTACCCGAGATCAGTCCCCATGCGCGAGATCAGCCGAGATCAGCCGAGATCACCGAGATGAGGCGCGCGAAGCTCGGGACGAGTCCTGCGCGAGATCACCCGAGGTTAGACCCACACGCACCACCCACACACCCACACACACATGAGCTGCCCCTGCGTGCCGCGCCGCCGCCCGCCGCCCACTCCGTTGGCACGCGCCGGGCAGCACAGCGGCGGTCGTGCCTCTCTCGAGTGGGGCGGCCGCCGCTGTGCTGCGCCCCCGTCGTACACAGTCGCTCTGCCTGAGTGTGCTGACTCGGGACTGCAAAAGCCGGGGCTGCCCGTCCGCACACGTTGATGTGCGCTCGAGAGGACACACAGAGGCAGAGCGAGTTCGGGCTCGTGACACGTGACAGCTGACAGCCACACGTGTGTGAGATTCCGTGTGATTGCCATTCATGTCTCTGTGTGGGTCCGCTCGCTCGCAAGACAAGACGATTGGGCCGGACTACACAGAGCTCACAGACTCCGTCGTCAAAAGCTCTTCCCGGCTCATTTTACGAAACGCGACACCGACAGAGACTAGCACCGACAGACGGGTGATCGTCCATGTGTATGTGTGTGTGACGCATTCGTCGGCGAAACCGGTCGCTCCGCGCCGTAGTCAAAGCGCGAGCGCGGAGAGCAGCACGCCCCGCCGCAGTGCCTCGAGCTTGGCGTCGAATCTCCTCCCTGAAGGCGAGCGCGACGGGGAGAGCGGCGGCGGCTTATTGAGCAGTGGCGCCTGTGGCGGGCGTCGGACGGTGTGAGGGTCGGGCGAGAGGGGGGTGGAGGGCCGTCGGCCGCCTGAGTGCGGCGGCGAGCAGTCCGCTGTGCGCCTCGCCGTGCCAGAGAGTGTGTGGGTCGACACTGAGCCGCGGCGAAGACCGCTCGTCAGGGCCAGCACACGCCGGTCGCAGCGGCGGCTGCAACTGCTCGCGTTCGCTGGCGCCCAGAGACGGAGCCTCGAGGATGCTACGTGGGCCGCTGCAGACACTTCGCCGTGAGCCAGCTCTCCCACTTGGCTCTCGGCCTCTCTCTGACTCGACCGCAGCCGACTCCCGGCGTCGAATTTCTTGTTTTCCGATTCTGTTTACCAATTGGTAAACAGAATCTATTTTGGCGCGAAAACGAAAAGAAAAATGAAAAAGACGGCGGAAGTGGAGAGAGCGACTGAGAAAAAGAGATTCTCTGGACTGAATAAATAAATAAATAAAACGGGCTGGACTGATTCCAACCGACCGTAAATCAGCAAATTCTTTTGTCTTCCCCAGCAGGGCTTCGCCGGGCTTCCAGGGTACGGCGGCTCTGAAAGGCGGCGCCGGCGGGCAATTTCATTCGCCCCAAATCGGGGAGTGGTTTTGCCACCCCCCGATTTCGGCATGATGACCCCAAACCGACCCAAACCGGGGGGGATGAAGCGAAAAATAAAACGCCGTGGGGTGAGGGGAGGGGGGGGGGGGGGGGGGGTTGAAAAATTGAAAGACGAGGGGGGCGGGGAGAGGGTGATGGCGCGTGGGGTTGAGCGTGCCCTATACGCCCAGAATCGGGCGAGGGACCTCCGTCGGGACTTTTCTTTTCGAAAAAGAAATAGACGGTTGCAGCAGGGCGGGAAGAACAAAGCATTACCAAATCACAAAAACGGGGATCTGGTGCACACCAAACGGACAAAACTCCCAAACGGACAAAAAACAAAGAAATTTGTTTTTCGTGGGATTTGTTTTGTTTGGGTTCGGACACGGGACACGCCTGTTCGGCTCGCCTTCGACTGGCAGTACGTTTTCTTTTTTCGCTCTTCTCTCTTTTCGCTATCAGTCTTTTCTTTTTCGGTTTCGCGCCAAAATAGATTCGCAAAACCATTGGTTTTCAGAATCTTCGGTGGGCCGCCGTCCCCAGCCGACTTGTGGCGGGTACAGCGTCTCTCTCGCTCTCCACTTCCACGTGCGAAATCGGACCGCTGCCGCCGCGCCCCACCCCGGCTGCGTGCGGCTCCCTCCGGCGGCCGGCTCCCGGCCCAATCCTCGCTACCCAACGCGGCCAAAGGATATCCACCTCGAGAACCTCGGGAAAGGAGCAGGATGCCGTGGATTGCTTTTCTTGGGCCGACGCCGAGGGACGGTCGCAGGCGCCGATTTTGGGGGGCATTTTTGACTGATTTTCATTAGGTGAGTTGCTACTATTTTGGGACCAGTTGAAGCCTAAAAATGGCTACAAATACAGCCACAGCAGCTGCTAGTCGTGAGCTACTACTGTGTGGCAGAGTCCAGAGAAAGGGCTTTCAGGAGCAATATTCAGTATGATCCAGCTCAACGTTGCGGAGTAGTAAGACTGTTCCGTTACCGTGAGCGGCCGGCGGCCGTCGGCGGCCGGTGGCGTGCGGCACGCGGAGCACTCCGTGAGCGGTGACGGGTGCGGACGAGCGAATGAGAGGTCCCTTTCAGTGCGAGATAGGCAGCCCTAGTCTCTAATAACGCATCTCCGATAGCGACCTCTCATTCGCTCGTCCGCGCCCGTCACTGCTAGTCGGGGCACTCCCTGTGGTGGGCGGCGACCGCCGCATACCGTCCTACGGCGGGGACTATCGCTACGCCAGGGAAGACAAGGGCGTTGAAGTGCAGCTGTTGCTGTTCGAATCGTTCGGCGGGTTCGGAAAGGGGGTCCGTGAGATCCTCCGGAAGGCGGCGAACGTGCTGCAGAACAAGCTGACGCGGGCCCAGTACCTCGATGAGGTGACTTGGACACCACAAAGAATTGGCTGGGGCTGCAGAAGCAGCGTATCTCAGTCGTTCTTCACACGGCAATCGCAGAGCAGGCTGTGAATGAGCTTGCCTGTGGCGGGGGTGGGCGGGTGCACGGAGCTAAGTGCCTCGCCACTCTCGCAGGAGTCGCTTAGGCGGCTCCAGTGGTGTACCTGTGTTAGTGCCAGTGCGCGCCAGTCCCGTGCCCACAGTGTTGTGCGACGGAGTTTGTCATTCTAAAATTCTTTTTCCTCGCGGGAGTCGCTTAGGCGGCTCCCGTGGTGTACCTGTGTTAGTGCCAGTGCGCGCCAGTCCCGTGCCCACAGTGTTGTGCGACGGAGTTTGTCATTCTAAAATTCTTTTTCCTCGCGGGAGTCGCTTAGGCGGCTCCCGTGGTGTACCTGTGTTAGTGCCAGTGCGCGCCAGTCCCGTGCCCAGTGTGGGTTTCTAAAATTCTTTTTCTGGGCTGCTGGTTGTGATCGCTTTGCTCTCGCGCCGGTGCACTCAATGCCGAAGCGCGATCGCGAGCAGGACGATCCGTGGGGTGTTCTCGTGCCTCACAACCCGCTGTGCGGAGCTCCCGTCCCGCTCTGCAGTCCGACGGTCGTCATCGGCCGCGAGGGTGATGTCACTGCGCCGTGCAATCCGCATCTCTCGAGGCAGCACATCCGGCTCGAGCGAGACGCGGCCGGCGCCGTCTACGCCACGCACCTCTCGGCGACGAATCGGACCTACCTCAACGGCCGCCAACTAGCGCGCGACGTTGCGGTCCGTGTCGAGCCAGACCAGGGCAACGCCCCGTTTTCTCTTCCCGGTGAGGCGGCGGACGCGCCGCTGCTGTTTGCGTCCTGGCGGAACGCGGAGGAGGCGCGCGCGGCGCTGGCGGACGAGCACGTCCGCGGGTGGTGCGGTTGGACCCTCCGCTTCGACGACAGCGGCCAAGAAACGCACGGAGGCGGCTCCGCCGCCGCCGCCGCCAAGAAGATGGCATGACGACCTCTCTTCCACAACCGACGGCGGCGTCTTCATTTTAAACGGCACTTAATGATTCATAGGCGTGGCTGGTGCCTCTCCCCGCCGACGGCGGTCGCGCTGCGGCCGCTGCCGAGCCGGCGGGAGGCGCAGAGGCGGAGGCCGAGCCCAAACAGCAGCTTGCCAGCCGTGCGCCGCCGCCAGCACAGCCGCCGCCACCGCAGCCGCCGCCGCCGCCGCAGCGGCAGCCGCCGCCACTGCAGACGCAGCCGCCGCCGCCGCCGCCGCCGCCGCTGTCGCGGCTGCAAGTGCTCGTGGTGCGCACAGCGGTGCCGGCGGGGAGGGGAGATGCCGACTGGTACGGTGCACAGAGCGGGCTCTGGGGCTTCCCCAAGGGACACCTCGAGGCGAGAGGAGCCGAGAGGCGCCGAGAGGAGGCCGAGATGCGCCGAGATGCGCCGAGATGCGCCGAGTTGCGCCGAGATGCGCCGAGATGCGCCGAGTTGCGCCGAGATGAGCCGAGAGGAGGCCGAGATGAGCCGAGATGCGCCGAGAGGCGCCGAGATGCGCCGAGAGGCAGCCGAGAGTTGCCGAGAGTTGCCGAGATTTGCCGAAGGGCACATCCATGCGAGGGGGGGCGCGGCGAGCTGGCCAATCTCGGCCAATCTGGGCGCTGATCTCGGCCAATCTCGGCCAGCAGGCGAGCGACGGCAGCGAGCTGGCGGCGGCTGTACGCGAGTTTGCCGAGGAGACGGGGAGTCGGTGTGCCGTGCCCTGAGATCCGCGCCTTCTTGCACGCGTCCGAGTGTTTCGTGTCTTAGGAGACGGGCCTGTGCGTGCCGCCCGCCTCGCTGGAGGGGTGTGTGGACTTGGGCGTCGGCATGTGCAACAGCAGCGGCGCAAAGACACTTCGCGCCTTCGCGGCGGAGGCATGGGAGGGGCTCGCCGAGGCGAGCGGCGGAGGACGCTCTTTAGCGCGCACGCGGCCGGGTGTGCCGGGTGGGCGTGATCGAGTGGTGAGCGGGAGCCTCTCTTCACAGCTCTGGGGTGTGAACAGGCGAGCCGCAGGAGGTCGACCTGATGGAGTGGTGGGGCGGCGGCGAGGGCTGTGGCCCCGAGTGAGGTGAACTCGACGGACCGAGGCGTTCGCATCTATGAACCAGGTGGCCGGCGGCGAGGGCGGTGGCGCCTCCGTGGCGGAAGGGCGACGCGGTGCAGCGGTGCTCCGGTGGCGCCAGGCCCCGCATCGGCGTCCGCCCGCCCAAGCCAACCCGCCGCCGTTGACAGTCTGCTGACCATTACACACTTCATCAGGCATCCGCCCGCCCAAGCCAACCCGCCGCCGTTGACAGTCTGCTGACCATTACACACTTCATCAGACATCCGCCCGCCCACGCCAACCCGCCGCCGTTGACAGTCTAAGGACCATTACACACTTCATCAGGCATCCACCCGCCCAAGCCAACCCGCCGCCGTTGACTGACGTAATGAAGGAGTAATCAAACACTTCATCAGGCATCCACCCGCCCAAGCCAACCCGCCGCCGTTGACAGTCTAATGACCATTAAACATTTCATCAGGCATCCACCCGCCTAAAAGTCGGTTCGTCAAGCTGCTCGCCCGCCGGCTGCTGCAGCAGGGGCGCGCCGCCGCGGACGCGGACGCCGAGGAAGGAGGAGGCGAGTGGTGGCGGATGGAGGAGGGGGCGGCGGCGGCGGTGAGGAGCGGGCGGGGTGCATCTCGCTGCTCGGTCCATCGCTCTCATTGATCGAGCGAGTGCGTAGGCGGAGAGCAGAGGCCGGGAGCATTCTTGCGGGCTGCTCGTGTACCGGTTCGAGCCGGCGGCCGGGGCAGAGCAGCAGCAGCCGCCGCCGCCGCAGCAACCACTGCAGCAGCAGCCGTTGCAGCAGCAGCAGCAGCAGCAGCAGCAGCCGCAACAGCAACAGCCGCAGCTAGGTGGCAGCAGCGGAGGAGGCAGCCGTTTGGCGGCTGCGGCGGAGGAAGCGGCAGGGGAAGCGGCGGAGGCGGAGGGTGCTGCCGCGGCGGCTGTTGCCTCGGAGGCACCGTCGGCGGCGGCCAGGGCCTTAGTCGCGTGCCTTACGGCCGGCGGCGGCGGCGGCGGCCCGGAGGCGCGACACGGCGCCTGCTCCCCAGCGCACCACTTTGACTCTTTGGCACGCATGTTTCTTTTCTCATTCATAGGCGCGACACGGCGCCTGCTCCCCAGCGCACCACGGAGACCCTCTTCACAGCAGTCTCTTGTGTTTCGTTTTCTTAGGGCCTCGTTTCCCCGCCGTCTCAGAGCCGCAGCGGCGGCGCTTTGGTGGCCTGCTACCTCGGCGGCGCCGGCGCCTCCTCCTCTAACGACGGCGGCGGTGGTGGCGGTGGCGGCAGGGGTGACGGCGGCGGTGGCGGCGGGGGCTGCGGCGGGGGCTGCGGCGGGGGCTGCGGCGGGGGTTGTGGCGGGGGCGAGGCTTCGTCGGCGAGGGCGGCGCATGCTTTCGTGTGGGACGGCGTGCTGCGGCGCGAGCTGGAGGAGGCGGCAGTCCGCGGCGCTGCTGTGCGGGACAAGGCGCAGCGAGAGTGAGTGGCTGAGTAGCTGACGCAGCTACGAGTGTTGAGGAGGGTTCCTCATGGAGGGTTAACAGGGCATTTAGCCAATAGTTACTTGTCTGTTGACGGTTGCGGGACAAGGCGCAGCTCGCTCGAATCGCCGCCGAGAACGGCCGGCTCGTCGAGGCGGTTGGGGAAAAAAACACGCGACGCCCCCCCCGAGGAAAAGAAGGCTGTGAACAGGCCGGCTCGTCGAGGCGGGGCGGTACACCGACGCCGCCGGCCAGGAGCACAGCTTGGCGCTGCCGCGAGGCGCCGTCAACCGCGCGATCGCCGCGCCCGCAAGCGCAGGGCGGACTTGCCGCCGCCGCATGATGCGACGGCCCGTGAGGAGGCGCTGTTCACACCTCGAGCTGTGAACAGGCGGCCGCTCCCGCCGCGGCACGGCTCGACGAGAGTGTGCGTGGCTCGCGTGGACACGGCGACGGCGCTGCGGCTGATGACTGCGCGGGTCGGCTCGGGGCGCGTCGCCGCGCTCAACTTTGCGAACGCGAGATCGCCTCGAGATCGCCCCGAGATTGCCGGAGATTGCCCGGAGATGCACTTTGCGAACGCACAGAGGGGCGGAGGCTGGCTGGCTCGTGAGAGAGAGAGTGGGAGTGGCGAGTCGCGCGGTCTCATAGGCGCACCACGCCGGCGGAGGCTACCTGACGGGCGCGCGCGCGCAGGAGGAGGACGTGTGCCGGTACCGAACCTACTTGGTTCATTGTTGATCCGTTCGTTCACCGCTAGTTCGTAGGAGGAGGACTTGTGCCGGCTGATGCCGCGGCTGCACCCGTCGCTGCTGCGGCTGCGGTACCCGATGGGGGAGCGTGTCGCCTTCTACACGCAGACGCTGCTCTGCCGCTCTGCCGGATCGTACGCGCTCGAGCACCCGATCTAGAAGCAAGCAGTGTAGTCCAGCCCGCGCTCTTGAGGACACGCCCTCTGCTGTGCCCGCTCCCCACCTCTCAGCGGTATTCACTGTATTTGCAGCCCTCGTACTCGCGCGGTGCTGGGGAGACTCTGCACAAGACCGTCCTCCCGCCCCGATGCCGGCGTATGCACCGCGCAGGCGGCCCCCACCCCTCCCTCCCCACATCTCCCCACCTCTCCCCATCTCTCCCCACCTCTCCCCACCTCTCCCCATCTCTCCCCATCTCTCCCGCGCAGGCACCCGCCCCTCCTCGTCGACGTCGTCTCTGCGGCGATGCCAAACCTCCGCGGCGGGCGAGGCCGCTCGAGTCTGGTCGCGGGCTCGGAGGCGTGGGAGGCGACGGTGCGCGCGCGGCTGCGGGCCGTGCTGCACGCGGCGAGAGAGCAGAGGAGCGGACGGCCTCGAGCTCGGAGAGGAACTGAGGGGCAGTCTCAATTCAGATTGTAATCAACTAACGTAGGTGCGATGGCCTCGTGCTCGGCGCCTTTGGTTGCGGCGCGTTTGGCAACCCGCCCGACAAGGTGGCGCCGCCCTGCTCTCTGCTGTTGAAAGATCGTAGGGACGCGGGTTGGTCGCAGGGCGCTCGGGTCGCCCCGGAGCGGCTCCGCGCGGGGAGGTGGGTGGAGGGCGGACCGCCATCGGGTAGGCCACCCCTTAGACTCTCTCCCTGACACCTCGCCCCCTCCCCCCCTTCGCCGCGGTGCGCGGTGTGTGAGCGATCTCTCTTTTCACCTCCAGCCGTGAACAAGGTGGCGCCCCTCTTCGCCGCGGCGCTCGCCTCGGGCGAGTTCCGCGGCGCGTTCGCGCAGGTTGCCTTTGCCATCCTCGAGCCGAAGGGGTCGGATGCGGGCAATGTGGCCGCCTTTGAGCGCGCGTGTGGGCCGGGGCAGGGAGGGCTCTGCGCCATCGCCGCGCCTCCGCCCGCCGCGCACTCAGCCGCGGCAGCGGGGCGGGCGGAGAGGCGGGCGCAGCCGCGGGCGGGGGAGCGGACGGGGGCGGGGGCGGAGGCGGGGGTGGGGGGGGCGGAGGCGGAGGCGGAGGCGGAGGCGGAGGCGGAGGCGGAGGAGGCGGAGTGGTGCTCTGAGGAGCCGCGCACGAGGCAGACCATCTTCCGCGGCGTGCGGCTCCTCGTGGCGACGCGGCTGCGCAAGCAGGTGCAGGAGGAGGTGGTGCGGCGCGGCGGCGGGGCGGTGGTGGGCGGAGTGCACGAGGCGATCGCACGCTGCACTCGAGTCGACCCGCCGCCGTTGACCGAAGTAGCTGGAGATGGGATAATCAACTGATTAGGCGACGCACGTTTCCCTCGAGTCGACCCGCCGCGCTAAGGATCTAGTCTTCCTGGCCACCCTGCCGAAGGACAAGTGGCCGCGGCTCGTCACGCAGGAGGGGGTCCCATATCTCCCCGTATCTCCCCACATCTCCCCACATCTCCCCACACCTCCCCACATCTCCCCACATCTCGTCGCGCAGGAGTGGGCCGGGCAGTGCTCCAAGATCCTCTCTGCCGACGGGGCGAGGACGGACGTGCTGCGCAAGCACCACCACACCGACTCGCGTGGCGGCGCCTGAAAGGAAGCCGTGCCGGACCGCCTTTCTTTGTTCCCTAGGCACCAGCACCCTGACGCCATGGCGCTAGCCCGCGAGCCCGACTCCCCCGCCTCTTCGGCCGGCGGGTCCCAGCCCCAGCCAGGAGGGAGGGGCGGCGGCGGCATCGGCGGCGGCGGCGGCGGCATCGGCGGCAGGAGGGGGGGCGGGGGCGGAGGAGGAGGTGGTGGAGGAGGAGGAGGCTCGTCGGCCGCAGCTGCGGCTGCCCCACCCGCCGCCGCCGCCGGGGATGGCGCGACGTCCTCCGGTCCTCCTCGCTGGGGCGTCTGCCAGCCCTTTGCCGCCGACGTGGTGGGTGGCGACGCCCTCCTCGGCGGAATGCGCGTGCGCGTCGCCACAGACGCGCACCCGGTCTGGGGGGGCGCGCTGGGCGTGGCCGCCGAGGACGGCGCGGCCGACGGCAGCTTCAAGGCGCTGCGGAGGCCGGCAGCGGCTCTGTGAGTGTGAAGGCGTCTCTTCACACCTGCAGCTGTGAACAGGTGCGTCTCGACAGCGGCTCGTGCGTCGTCGTCGCAGCCGCATCGCTCGAGCCCGCAGCCTCGCGCCCCATCCCTCGCCGCGTGCCCGACGCGAAGGTGTGCTCACTGAGAGTCCCCCCAGAGTACCCCAGAGTACCCCAGAGTACCCGAGAGTACCCGAGAGTACCCGAGATCGCCCGAGATGACTCGAGAACCCCCGAGATTACTCGAGATTGCTCGAGGTCGCTAGGAGAGCTCGTGGAAGAACGCGGGCCCGCAGGAGCGCGGCGGCGGAGACGTCTTTGCCGAGGCGGCCAAGGATGCGTGGAGGGGGTACTGGAAGCCGGAGCGGCGGGATATCGACCTGCAGGGGTACGTCGCGATGGAAAAGTACGACGGCATCCGCGCCATGTGGGAGCCAGACATCGGCGGCGAGTGCGGCTTCCGCACCAAGGGCGGCGTGCGCACGTGGAAGTGCAGCAACGCGGAGATGCGAGACGCGCTGCTCGGGTGCGGCTTGCGGCTCGACGGCGAGCTGTGAACGGCGTCTCTTCACACCTGCAGCTGTGAACAGGTGCGGCTTGCGGCTCGACGGCGAGCTGTGGGCGGGGCGAGGGCGGTGAGACGAGGGGGGTGGGCACCCGTGCCGATGGTGTGAACGGCGTCTCTTCACACCTTCCGCTGTGAACAGGTGGGACGAGTGCGGCGCCTTCATGCGGGGCCACTGGGAGAGCATCGCCTTCAAGGTCTTCGACGCGCCCTCTGCCGCCGGCGGGCTGCTGGAGCGGCTCGATGCGGCGCGGCGCGCGCTTGCCGGCTTCCCGACGGCGCGCGTGCAGGCGGGGGCCTTGGAGATCGCCTCGAGATCGCCCCGAGATTGTCGGAGATTGCCCGGAGATGCACCCGGAGACCAGCCGAACATCGCCCGATCACCCGAGGTCGAGATCGTTCGGAGATCGCCCGAGGTCGGCCGGAGATTGCCCGAGATTTTTCCGGCGGCGGCGCGCGTGTAGGTGGTCTCGGCGGTGCCGTGCGAGGACGCGGCGGCGGTGGGGAGGCTGCTGACGCGCGCAGAGGCTCTCGGCGGCGAGGGCCTAATCCTGCGGGACTCGAGGCTGGGATTGCCGGCCCATTGCTGCTTGCGGGCGTTTTGTTTTACTGCGCGTGTTTCTTTGTTTAGGCCGAGCTTCCGGCCCGGCAGGCAGGAGGGGCTGCTCAAGGTGAAGCGGTTCTACTCGGGCGTGTGCAAGGTGATCGGACAGGCGCGAGGGCAGATGCCTGAGGCATGGTGCGCGACATCTATGGGACCTTAGTTATTGCTGTCGGTGAGCCCAGGTGCCGGGCAAGGACAGCGTCGTCGTCTCGACCGTCGAATACGGCTCGCTCTTCGACGCCGCTAACCCAGGGGCTGCTGTGAACAGCGTCTCTTCACACACGTCCAGCTGCGAACAGGCTCGCTCTTCGACATCTCGGCCCACAGCCGCAGGCTGCCGACCGGCACCATCCTGACTACGAGTACCCCGTCACACTGTTGCCTCTTGTTCGCATGCGCAGCTTTCTCTTCTAGGCACCATCCTGACCTACGAGTACCCCGGCCTCAACAACTGCGGGATGCCTCGCTTCGCGGGCAAGATTAAGCGCGTGCACGAGGCGGGCTGCGCCTGCGAGGCGTGCGCGCTGGACAGGCGGGGCGGCTGGCCGGCGTGGGACGGGCTGGCGAGCAAGACGCCCATTGAGTGGTACGCAGCAGAAACGGGAGGCTACGTGTTCACGGGGTGAGGCCGGCCGACAGCGTGCCCGTGGAGTGGGTTATGACGCAACCGATCGTCCACCTAGCTGCCCAGCTCGGGACGCACCGCCCCCGCCAGTGACGCGCAAAGTGACCGTCCATGAACAATGTAAACCACAATTGTGAGCGGGCGGCCCAAGTAGAAGTACACTGACACCTCAGCGAGGGAGGGCGGGACAATCGAGGGGGCCCGAAGCCCCGAACCAAGCGGATCGACCCTGTCCCAGTGCAACTCAGTGCAACACAGCGTCTTCAAAAAATGATGACCGTCTTCTCAACGAAACAATTCTAAGGCGCCCTGACCCCTGTCAGCTGTCCACAGCAGACTCTCTGCCGCTGAGAGTATGAATTATCTGAGGTACGAAAATGGTGGTATTTCACCATGGATGGATCCACTAGGTGTGAGTCATTTCCTCGCCGCAGGCAGGGACGAGTCTAGGACGAGTGCGCGACGCGGACGAACCGCTCAATACAGTTGTACCCCCGGGGGTCCGACTGCACGCTTGCTGCACGAAGGCGAAGCCGGCGAGATGGTCAAGCGCTCAGCCTCGACTACCAGTAATCGCAGGGCGCGCTGTCGCGCGTGCGCGGCCTGCTTGCTCAAGCAGAACTGTGGCCATTGCAGGGAGTGCCTCGAAAAGGTCGAGTTTGGTGGGAAGGGCCTCCGAAAGAAGATTTGCCGCTCGCGCAAGTGCATGAACATGTCCGTCCAGCCGGCCAACTCAGCGCCGCCGCTCTTGGACCTTGAGCGCGGCGGCCCGAGCGAGCCCTTTCCCGCGCAGCCGCTCCTCGCAGGCCTCCCTACAGGCTACCCTCTGACGCAGTGCGTCCTCCCGCCGCTCGCGGCAGAGGATGCGCTCCTCGCGCACAAAGTGGCCATCCTCCGGGAGCTCACGAGCGCGCGCGGGGAGCTGCTGGGGAGCGCGCACCCGTGGGCGGCGAGAGCGATTGGTGTGCCGGCGCGTCCTCTCGCACCGCCGCGTCTGCCGAGTGACTGTGCGGCGGAAGGAGGGGATGGAGCGGTGGCGGGAGGGCATGCGGCGCTGTCGTGGCCGATGAAGGTGGTCATCGACGAGATGCGGCGCGCACTCGCTCCCACGCCGGCGCCGCTCGCTCCCGCCCCGGCGCCGCCACCCCCAGAAGGGGCGACGCCCCACTGCGGCAGCCCCTTCGACGATTTGCTTCTCTCTGGCTCCGCGACACCGCCGCTGCTGCAGAAGCGCCCGACTCCGGGGGCAAGCGTGCCGCCGCCCTCCATGCCGCCTTCGCCGCCGGCCATGCGCATCCCACTGCGTCTGGACGTGGCACAGTACAAGCCGGTCCAGCTGTCGCTCGCCCTCGCGGTGATGTTCGCCGCTCGTCTCGCCGAGCTCGACACCACCAACCCCTCCGGCCTGCTCGCTGCCGCGGGCTTTGGATTGCTGGCCCTCGCCAACCTGGCACATGCCTCGCCTCGCTTTCTTGCGCGCGCGATGACCCTGGTTCTCGTGTGCGCCCCGACTCTGCGTCTTGTCAGAGTCCTTGTCCGCTCGCCGGAAGCGATGGCCCGTGACCTCGACAAGCTCGCAGGCATTGGGCGTTGCGTAATCACGATGGCTACAGCGACCGGCGCCGCTTTCGGAGCTCTGCCACCCTCTGCCCTCCCTCCGACCCGCAAGCTACTCGCAGTGGGATACTGCGCTTGCGCGTCGGCATGCGTGAACGTGATCCTTCGTGTCCGCACGGGCGACGAGCGCGCGCCCAACTTTCACCTGCTGCACATCGTCCTCCCCTTCTTCGCGTCCTTCCTCGCGGCCCATGCAGCTTCGCGCAGCAGCTTCGGGCAGAACGTGGCGCGGCAGAACGTGGCGCGGCGGGGCTACTCCACGCGGCTCGCCTGCGATGAATCTAGACAGATGTGGAGCTCCCGCACCTGTTCTGACAGAGACCTCGCCGTTCTGACAGCGTTCTGACAGCGTTCTGACAGCGTTCTGACAGCGTTCTGACAGCGCAAAATCCTCCCCTCTCTTCACAACTCAGGGGCTCTGACATTCCCAGTTGCCCCGCTCCTTCCCTCTTGAAGCCTCCCTCCGAGCCACGGACGGACTCAACACACACAGACAGACACACTTCTCTGGTAGGACGGGAACGAGATGTGATAGAGTAGGGGGGAGTAGAAGAAAGCAAAGAGGAGCCCTGCGCACGCACGACTCCGCAGGAGAAAGCCCCTCCCCAGACAAAGCGGGGTAGAGGCGGGCGGAGGGGCAGTTTGGCCAGTTTGGCCCGTTCGGTGCGAAGGGGCGAGGTCGGCACGCGTGACTGAGCGACTGGTGGGAACCGTGCGGGTGCGAGCGAGGGGGGCGGGAGGGGAACGGTCGCGCGTTAGGGAGGAGCGGCACGAGACCACGAGAGGTCGGGGGGCGGTACGAGCGGTCGGCGGTCGGAGGAGGTCGGTAGGGAGGGTCCGGAGATCGGGACGAGATCGCGATCTCAGGGGGATGGTGTACTTAAATTGTATTCCGCCGGTCAACCGACTCTTTGACCTTTGTCGAATTTTCCCCAAAGTACACTATCCGGATGGTGTACTTGAGCGTTTGAGGCTAATTCTTTTTTGGCCTTACTTTTAAACTTTGGGGAAAATTCGACAAAGGTCAAAGAGTCGGTTGACCGGAATACATGAAGTACACCATAAGTCCACTCGCAGATTCAATGCCCCGACAGCCCAGGGCACTTCTGGTCGATGAGGTGCTTCCCCTCGCGCTTGGCCAGCGACTCGAGGAGCACCCACCAAGACTTCGTGTCGATGTTGCCCTTTCGAGCGTTCGGGTTTAGCAGCCACGGCTTGTTGATTCCCGCGTAGTGCACGTATCGGTCGGCACTGTGCATGCACCTCTGCTCATCGGCTCCGTAGCCGCGCAGGTCGCGAAAGGTGGAGTGCCCGGTCAGGTTGAATGCCCAGAAGAGCCAGCCTTGGTCGCATGCCGCAGACGACCACAGCCACGACACAATGTGAAACTTTTCGCACCGGTACATCCACAGCGCGGAGGCGTGATCGAAGAAGTCAACGAAAGTGGTGCAGAGCGGCGCGGCGCCCGGCGTGGGCCAGACATGCAGCCCGCGGTTCTCCCACCCTCGCGAGAGCGAGAAGCGCCGGTGGTGCGCGGACGGCCAGAGCGCCTGGTGCTGTGTGGCGTTTGGCCGGATAAGGAACATGTTGCCCCAGAAGCCGACGCCCATCATCTCTCCGACGAGGCCCTCGGGGTACTCATACTCGAAGATGTCGCGCCACGAGCCGGTGGGCAGCATGTCCGCGTCCGTGTACAGCACGCGCTCGTACTGCGTCAGCGAGAGCAGGTGCGCCTTGAGCAGATTCGCCGCGCAGAACTCCGTCGGGTACAAACTCAACTTGGGCAAGGGCATCCGCACGGTCTTCACGCCGCTTGCGTTCAGGTCGCTGAGCCACACGTCGGGCACGTTGTCGTGCAGCACGACGAAGTCGACGCCGTCGAGGCGCCCCGTGCTCACGAGCTCGGCCTTCAGGATGAGGAGCACACACAGCAGCGTCTCGAGAGGCTTTGAGGCAAAGCGCTCGTTCTTGCCCGCGGAGCCCGATGGCAGGTGCAAGATGGTCGCCACTGCGATGCGGCTCTTATCCAGCCTCTCAAAGGGCGTGTATCTCGCGGGCGGGTAGGGAATCACCTTGTGCCACTGCACATCCCACAGATTGTGGTTTGTGCGGAGCTGAGCTGCTACGCTCCCATTGTAACGGGCTTGCCGGTCGTGCGCTCCCAAAACCTCGTCGCGTCGGTCGATGATGGGTGGTTCTCTTCGTCGCTCATGGGCCGCGCGTAGCGCCGTCAGGAGTGGGATCACGTCGTCACCAGGGTCGTAGTCAACGTCCCTCGTTTGTGTCGCACGGTACTGGACGGAGCCGGTGTTCTGGCGCCAAAATCCGTAGGTTTGGGGCTTGCGGTGGGGAACATGGGGCTTCTCGTCAGACGCAGGTTTGTGCTTGTCGGCCGAGCAGAGCATGAAGAGGGCGCTCAAGAGAACGGCAGCCAATCTCGCCAGCTGCATTGCGCTCGGATACCCTGCACACGTGCTCAACGGGGTGATCGGGCGCGCGTTTGCTCGGACAAAGGACGAACGGTTCCTACGAGCATCCAGGGACATCGCTTCCAGGGAGCCCCCCCCCAGCCCCCCAGCATGTGGTGGGCACCACCCAGCAGTTCGTGGGCTAGAAGTAGCCGCCAGAGAGCCGATTTTGAAAGGTAACATCGTGGCTGAAAGTCCAATGTCTTGGAGAATCTGACCAGTCTCAAGGCTCAAGTAGCTCCAACCAAAGGAGGAATTTGCTCGAAAAATGCTGCGCACTGAGGTGTAAAATCAAGGGCCCGCTAGGCCTAACCTGTCAGTGGTGATTAAGCGCGAGCCGTCGGTTTTAAAATTCTTTTTATTGACGTATTTGTGGCACTTGCTTACTTAGAACTTACTTGCTTGTGTGTTGTGAGAGAGACTGTTGTGACTTGTGTGTGCCCCTATTTCGACCAGGCAGACCGTTTGATCAGTGACACGATTGCGAGAAGTCAGAAGAATTTTACAACATAAAGAACAAAGCTCCCTCGCACGACACGGGCACGGACTGGCGCGCACTGGCACTAACACAGGTACACTTCATGCGAGAAACCCAGTCAGTATGACCTGAGAAGAATGATGTGGAGATGGGAGAGATGGGAGAGATGGGAGGATTCTCCAAGCATCAACCTGCACATCTCTTCGGACGAGGGGGACCTCGTTCTTGCGCGCTATGGATATGGCAGCGCCACCCCCGCCGACGATATGGACCACCCACGCTATGGGGGCAGCGCCACCCCGCCGACGATATGGATATGGGGGTTCTTGCGCGCCACCCCACGATCCGATCCACCTGTGACACCCCCGCTCTGCCCAGCACCAAAAGGGTCGGCCGCCTTCAGCATCAAGTGCATCATCCATCGCGCCTGGTCCTGCCCGTGGCGCATGTACGACCGCGAGAAGAGCTGCTTCATTGGCTTTGCGGGGATGGCGCTTGGGTTCAGAGGGGTATTGGGGTAGCCGTGCTCAAGCACGCGCGGATGTGTTGCAACATACGTGATCTGGGTGCTCGCCCCTCCGATGTCGATCCAGCCTGCCGTGTCGTTCGCGCCCGAGGAAAGAGCGTAATTCAACGCCTGCCAGCCTGCGAGGAGAACGGAACGGACGAGGAGAGATGTGTGGGAAGGGCGGTGGGAGGCGTGTGGTGTGAGGTCCATTACAAGGTTAACTGACCGTAGATGCCCTCAGTATCGCCAGGAATCGTCATTGCTTCCTTGAGCCGCATGCCATTGTCGGCCCAAACCGCTTTCACCGCGTCCCAGATTTGCTCGTCCTCGGTGTCATTCTTGAGGCGCATGCCGGCCTACTCGGCAAAAACGTGGCGCGCTAAAGTGTTGGGGGGGTGGGTACGTGGAGAGGGATCACAACGCCAGTGGCCGTTGCGAGCAGGTAGATGGGGACGTCGTAAACGTCAGATCCGGGGAACAACTTCGGGAGCTCGGATTTGAGCTGGGGGATCATGTCTTTGAAGTAGTCCTCATAGCAAGCCTTGAGCGTCCTGTTGCAGGTCGTGGCCTGCGTGGAGATGCCCGGCGTCTTCTTCGACAAGATGGCATCGTCGACATCGATGGCGATCGGCCAGGCGCCCGCTGTCGTGTTGAAGATGGTTGGACGCGAGCCGCTGCTGCCACAGTCAACCACGACGGCCGGGCTGCCAGCGGCGCCGTTGTCGACGCGCCCAGCCATTGCTGCGTCCCGCCATTCGACGCTTGTGTTTTTGACGTAGTCATCGAAGACGACGATCGTTGTTTCGTCGCCGAGCCACGTATCGAGGAGAACGGTGAAGTAGGCAGTTGCCCAGCAGTTCAGAAACGCGTAGCCGGGGGAGGGAGGGACGGGGTCAGTACCGGCCGCTCCAGACTGCATCGCCTTGAAGTCGTCGAGCTCAGCAAGTTCCTCGAAGACTGAGGAGTCGAGCCTGCGGTGGCTGGTCTTGGAGCATTCCTGATGGCCTGTCTTCTCGAGCTCCTCCTTCGCATCCTTCACTGTTCCGGTCCATCCTCCATGCTTGGTGGCGGAGTAGAATGGCTCAAGATACTTCAGGGAGCCGGTGTAGAAGGCGCTTGGACGGGCGGCGTGGTAGCCTCCCGAGATGCCCACCTCACAGGACTGCTGCAAACAAACGAAGCTCAGGTCGACAACCTGACACGGCGTGCGTCATGTGAGGCAGGTCAGACGGCTCCGTGAGAGAGACACGTGAGAGAGACAGGGATTCCTCCTCGGGGGGCGGCGCCTTCTTCTAGGCGCCCGCCTTGACCCAACATAGAGGGCGCTGTGGGCCTAGCTTTTGGGTAATAAAGACAGAAGCCACGCCTGTTTGGCGAGCATCAGGCACTGGCTGAAGTTGCCGGTTGCGACCTCGTCGAATGGGAGATTTTTCGGCGAGCCGTTGTCATATTCGCAGTTTGCGGACGTGTAGCCTTTGTAAATCTGGTTTCCAACCTACGGGGAGTTTGCCGAATGACTTGGCCGGCGTCCGACTCTCATGCTCGGGAGTCGGGACGACGTGCCTTGCAGTCCGGGCTCGGGTCGACCGGCGCGCCGGGCGGGTAGCAAGGGTTCGGGATCTTGCTCGTCGGCGGTGGTAGCGTCGAGAACGCGTTGGTGTCGGCGACGAAGAGCAGCAGTAGCCAACCCTGCCTCTGTGCCAACGGCATGAATGTCGGCGCTGTCAAACATTGTTTTCTTTTGGGGGCTTTCCATAGAGTTTTGATGGGGCGAGGCGGAGACACGGCGCAGGAATGAACGGTGAATGGAGCAAGCAGAGGCCGCCGCCGGGCGCTGCCTCGCCGAGCGAGAGCGGCGGTCGGTGGAGGTGGTGATGCTGCAGCCGCTCGCTACTGACTGGCGGCGGCGAGCGTTCCTTAATCGTTGGGCTCAGAAAAAGCACAACTTTTTACTGTTTAGATTGTGGCCTCACCCATCGACGGGCTCGGGCCAAGGCCCCTCGATGAGATGGCGACCACGGCCAAGGGAGCATCCGGCCCGCAACCCGCCCGTCGTTGCCACCCCCGTCGTTGATGGAGCCATTGCCACCGCGCCCATCGGCGCCGTCAACTTCACTGTATGTCTCCACCTCGATAGCCGGGCGGCGCTTCAGAACTTGCAGCGTACGATGCCCGAGTCGCTGGTACAGCGCGGTGTGAGCGAGAGCGAGTGGCACACCGTGTGCGCTGGAGCCTGCTCGGTACCCCCCCTGCACATCTAAAGCCATGGCCGACCCCCCCCCCCCAGCAGCAGCGCTCTGCTGCTGGGGGGGTCGGGACCCCCCCCCCCCCAAGTCTCCGGGACCAAAACCCTAATCCCCCGCTCTTCCAGCGCCCCCCCCCCCCCCCCCTGCGCGCTACATGTACATGTGCTGAGTGGCGGCACCCAGTCGCGTCGATCCGCGCCTGCATGCGTGCGATCTCCTCCGTGCGCCGCATCTGCTCCTGCTCTTTGGAAGCCCTGTCCTGGGCACGGAGCACCGCAAGCTGCTCCGCACACTCGCGTGGGCCCGGCGCAGCAGCCAGCCACGGCGAGCTCGTCATGCCGGGCCCCTGCGCGAAGGACGGCGGGGGGAACATGCCCCCGCTCGACGGTGCAACCACAGGGGGAAACGGCTCTCCACCGCGAGTGAGAGGGATTAGCGCCTCCGGTCTCGGCTTGGCCCTCCTGCGGACCGGCGCACCACCTGGCGGCGGCGGCGGCGGCGGCGGCGGCGGCGGCGGCGGCGGCGGCGGCGGCGGCGGCGGCGGCGGCGGTGGCGGTGGCGGCGGCGGCGTCCACGTCGTCTCGCCGGTGTTCTTGTTGAAGTAGTAGGCAACGCCATCCGCTGTCGTGTGCTTGGTCCAGTCCTCGCCCAGCTGCAGCTCCTCGCTCTCGCTCTCCTCCGCCTCCCCCGCCGCACGCCACTAGTGCTCAAGTGCTCAAGAAAGATCAGGGGACGGCCGCAGTCAACACTCGGTAATGCTTCGCCGAGCTCCGAGCAACGATGGACGAACTCTTACTGCTGGTGTACGCGTGCGTGCTTGGATTGGTGGCGTTCGTTCCCGCCACCGCGCGGAGGGCCCTCGTCAATGGCCTCTTGCCGTTGACGAAATATGTCACTGGCACCAGGGAGCTCAATGTCTCAAACCGTGTCCGCGCCGCACACAAGAACCTCACGGCTGAAAATCTCACACCGTTCATCGGTCAGCCCCGCTGCTGATGACACTACATGCGGCTGTCGCCACTCTCACTGCCGCCGCTGCCATGGCTGCCGCAGGAATCGCTCTCTCCGCGCACGGGCTCGGCGTGGTGGGTCTCGCAGGGCCAGCGGCGGTGTTCTGCTGCGGGCGCCTGGTGCATTTCTTTGGGGCAATCCTCAACCCGCCCTTTGCCCGAACCCTGGGCTTCGTCGCCGGCTGGGCCGCGTCCATGTACGTAGCGTACCTCGTCTACGGGGCCTACTCGGCACTCGAGGCGCCGAGCGAAGGGGAGAAGACCTTTGCTCTTATCACGGCCACCTGCGTCTTCACGTTGCTGCTCTTTGTCCCTTATGACCTTGGTCGCATCCCTGCCAACGGCATCCTCAAGCTGACGTACTACAACGACATCGTTGAGAGTGACTGGCTTGTGCGCGGCAAGGCGGCTCACCTCAACATGGCCAAGGAGAACCTGCCTCCCTTTGTGGGCATCTTCCTGGTGGCCGCGCGCCTGCAAAGTTTCGATGAGTTGGCCGTGCAAGGTGCGCCTCAGCTCGCGCTCTACTTCCTCGCGGCGCGCTGCTTCCACTACCTCGCTGCGTACGTCAACATTCCCTTCGCGCGGACCGTCGGCTTTGTCGCCGGCTGGGCCGTGTGCATGTGTTGCGCGTATCTCGTCGCGCTCGAGCTCCTGAACATGGACAACCTCGATGCCGGCTGGCTCAACCTCGAGATGCTCAGCGCGATCAGTGTCTTCACGCTGCTGCTGTTTATTCCGTATGACCTCGGGCGGATCCCAGCGAACGGGATTCTCAAGCTGACGTACTACAACAAGGAGATGGTCGAGTCGGGCTGGATTCAGCGCGCCAAGGCCGCGCATCTCCACATGGCTGGCGAGTGCCTTCCCAGCCTCATCGGACCTCGCCTTGCCGCTATCGCCGGTGTCGTGCCCACTCTAGCTCTTGACATCCTTGGGCTTGAATAGGCCTAGTCCTGGCTGCGGACTCGCTCCGCGTGCAGGAGGACCTCCACCTGCCGTACATCTTGGGCTTTCGCGCAGCTCACTACTTTGTGGTGTGGTGCAACCCGCCGCTTCTGCGCACGGCCTTCTTCGCGGCGGCGTGGATGCTCATGCTGCGAATCGCATACCTCACGATCCAGGCCAGCACACTACCGCGCGCGCCCGGTGCCCCACAAACTTGTATAGACTCCTCTTCGGCCGTGCCGTGCCGTAGGCCGCCGGCGAGGACGCAACGATGCAGAGCTTGGTTGGTGCTGGCATCATCGTGGCCGCCACTGCGTGCACGTTTGTGGACAACAGCGTCGCGCCCGACGGGGGATCGCCAGAGGAGACGCAGGAGAAGCTGGAGGAGAAGCTCCTCTCGTTGTCCTGAGGAGACCGGCGCCTAGAGTTCATTTTAAAGATGAGACCTACTACGGTGGGCGAATTTCCCCGTTTTATTCCTCTTTTCAAGCCCAACTAGCCGCACGCCCCGCGCCTAATTTGCCGTCGTTCGCCCTCCACGATCGGCAAGCAGCCCAGTCGAGTCGGACGCGCGACACATATCATGGCGAAGAAGTCCTCGCGCGAGCGCGACGGAAGGGAGAGGGCCACCGCAAAGCCGGCGCCGCCGAGAAAGGGCCTTGGTGGTCTGGTCGACACGGCAGACACGTATCTTCGGTACAGCAAGGCCAAGGCACGCGAGGCGACGCCAGAGGAGCGCGAGGCGACTGATGTGGCGGGAGGGATCATGCTCATGCTGGTTGCCGTGGGCCCGCTCATCTACTACTACTTCTTTGCCGGCGCCGCCAGTGGCCCGCCACCGCCGCCGTCTGTGTTTAGCAACCTCAACACGTGAGGCGTCGAAGGCGAACAGGCGGGTGGCTCAGAAACTCGCTTGTCCGCTTTGCCGCTCTCTGTATACTCGTATTGCGCCCTCGTATCGCGCCGCCTCGAACTAGCCGGGTATTGGGTCAGAATGGGTCTTCTCGTTCGTTCTGCCACCTTTTTTTTCGCCCTGGGCGCCCGTCTTATGTGATGAGATCATACATTTAGTAGCTAGCGCAACAGGCATGTGCTCAGTACAGCGCCTCCGGACACTCCGCAAAGCCCCCCGTGCCCAGCCACACCCGATGCGTCGATGTGATCACGTCCAAAGTGACGTCCAGCCCGCCGCCGCCATCGGCGCCGCCACCGGCGCCGCCACCGGCGGCATCGGCGGCGGCGTCGGCGGCGGCGGCGCGGCGCAGCGCGGCCTTGCCCTCGCGCGGCGCCTTGCGGCAGAATGGCGTCATCCCGCAGAGCGCCTCGAGCGCGTCTCCGCGGTACCTCCTCTGCAGCTCGAGGCGGGTGTACTTTTCGCCCTGGCCGGCGGAGCCCTGAGGGGAAGGGGACTTTGGGCGGAGACCTGAGGGGAGGGGGCGTTGGCCGCACCGTCTCCGCACGCGCACGAGGCGGCGGGGCACCAGCGGGTGGCAACCCCCCCCCCCCCCCCCGTCGTCTGAAGACAGGAGCCGCGCATTGAAAGTGCGAGGCCCAGTGCGTGGGAGAGCGGTGTTGTGTGCATGTGTGCGTGTGTGTGCGTGTGTGTGTGCGCGCGCGCACGCGTGTGCGTGCGTGCGTGCGTGCGTGGGTTTAAGACTGGCTTTCACCTGCTTGGGCTCCGAGTAGACCGGTGCGCCCGCCAGCGCACGCAGCTCTCGCAGATGGCGCGGACCTGACCCGTCCACCACCTGGCCGTCAGTCCTTCCTCAACGGACGTAGGCGCAGCTCCGATGGCGCGGCACCTGATCCGCAGGCACCATCTCGGCATCCACATTGATTAACGGAGCTGGCGCAGCTCCCTCTGATGGCGCGGCGCCTCCGCGGGCGACGACGACGGCGCCGCCCGGCCGCAGCACACGGCACATCTCGTCCCACGGCGCCTAATCTCGACCGATCTCGCGTACCGTCTCGCGCAGCTCGAGCGAGCGGCACATCTCGTCCCGCGGCGCCTACTCATCTCGACACTCCTCCGCCCTCAGCGAGCCAAGTCATGAACCGGTGAGCGACGCCTCTCCCATCCGCGCCGGCGCAAAGGCAGACAGCACCTGTTCGCAGCCATCCGGGTGGAGAGGCGCCGTTCACGCCCGCAGGCTCCGCCGGCGCAGGCCGAGGGCAGCCGCCAGGTCGAAGCAGCCATCGGAGAAGGGAAGCGCGTGCGGCGACGCGACGGCGAAGCGCGCGGAGGGCTGCCGCTTCGCCGCGGCCTTGACCGCCCGCTTGGCGGTGTCCACGCCCCACAACCCAACCGCCGGGCTGCACACGCCGTCGCCGCCGCCGCCGCCGCCGCCGCCGCAGCTGCTGCTGCCGTCGCCACCGCCGCCGCCACCGCCGCCCAAATCGCTCCCTCTCTGCCGCAACGCTCTCTCGATGCGGCGGAGGATGAGGCCGTCGCCGCAGCCAGCGGCGAGCAGTTCGCGCCGCGCGCCCCGCCCCGCGGCGGGCTGCGGGCCGTCGAGGAGCGCTCGCACCACCTCGGCCGCGATTGCGTCGGCGGCCGCGTCAAAGCTGCCGCCGTCGTGGAAAGCTCTGGCGGCTCGCGCGACCTGGTCCGCCTCCTCGGCCACCTTTGCAGAGAGCGGCCGCCGAAGAAGGTGGTGGTGGCCCTCGCGCGCCGCGTCGACCGAGTGCCCATTGCGGCAGCGGAGGGAGCCGGAGGAGGTCGGCAGGAGCGGGTCGCCGCACGATGGGCAGCGGTACGCGACGGGTGCGCGCGCCGCGGACGCCGCCGGAAGCGAGAGCGCTGCGGCGGAGGCGGGCAGGCGAGCGAGGGCAGCGGCCACGAGGGCCATGGCGGTGGCAATGTTGCAGCGAGCGAGAGGCCAGTGGGTGCAGGGTCGAGGGGAGAGAGGCGCCCCGCTGTTCTTTCTTTCCAAGCAAACACGAAAAAATTCTTTTCCTCGCGATGTCTGCCCCGCCGCGCCGCCGCTCGCGCCGCCTCGCCACCGCCTCCACCGCTGCCCCCTCTCCAGACACGCCGCCGCCCGCCCGCCTCCTCGACCTCCCCACGGAGCTCCTCGTGCGCGTCGTCTCTCACTGCGACCCCGCCGACATCACTCGCGTCGCGGCCGTCTCTCTCCTCTTTCACGCCTCGCTTGCGGTGGAGGGCATCCGCTTGTGGGCGCAAGAGCGCGGCTTCGAGCTGCCGGCGCTGCCAGAGGGCGAGGGCTGCGCCGTGCGGTGGCTGTGCTATTCGGCGCTGCTGCGCGAGTCCAACCCGCCGGTGAGGGCGGCGGCAGGCCGACAAACTCACAGCCTCTTCATCGACGGCGAGGGGCGGCTCTCGTCGTGCGGCAAGGCTGCGAGCTGGCAGCCGGGACTACTCGGGCACGGCGAGGGTGTGACGCGGCTCAACACGCCGACCCGCCTCCCTTCGACGCTGGGCGTTGAGCGCGCTGTGAGTGTGTCGGCTGGAACATGGCACAACCTCGCCCTCACCGGCAGCGGCACTGTCTGGAGCTGGGGCGAGGGAGGCCAGTTGGGCCACGGCGACGCGCTGACCGAGTGGCTGCCCAAGAAGATCGAGGCCTTGGCTGGCCAGCGCGTCTTCGCTATGTCGGCTGGAGGCAGCCACAGCCTCGCCCTCACCGCCGCTGGCGCTGTCTGGAGCTGGGGCGACGGAGACGAAGGCCAGTTGGGCCACGGCGACCAGTACAGCCAGCTGCTGCCCAAGGAGGTCGAGGCCTTGGCTGGCAGACGCGTCGTCGCTGTGTCGGCAGGAGCATCCCACAGCGTCGCCGTCACCGCCGACGGTGCCGTTTGGAGCTGGGGCAATGGAGGCCAAGGCCGGTTAGGCCACGGCGACGAGCAAAACCAGCTGCTGCCGAAGAAGATCGAGGCCTTGGCGGGGCGGCGCGTGATCGCTGTGTCGGCTGGGTGGCAGCACAGTCTGGCAATCACCGCTGACGGAGCCAGCTCTCGCCACTTGCTGCTCTCTCTACACAGTCACACGCCCTACTGCGCGCTTGCCAGACGATATGCCTACTCCTTTGTTGTGGCCGGGTGTGAACCCCAAGCTCAAACCCGGCTCGAGGGGGCGCAAACCGAAAAATCAAATGTCCGACGAGTATCAAATTTGCGTATCAAATGTCAGTTCACAATTGGGCCCCCATGGAGGTCGCTCCTAGAGCCGTATGGCGCAATTCACGGGCTGCGTCGGGCGCGCCTTGCAGCGAGTAAGGTAAGGTAAGGTAAGGTAAACTTCTCCACACACACGAGGTGGTGGGGCAAGGGGGGGCAACCCTCGCGTCTCCACGTCTGACGACAGGAGCCCCACGGCATTCAAAGTGCAAGGCCCAGTGCGCGTGGGTGAGCGGTGTGTGTGTGTGTGTGTGTGTGTGTGTGTGTGTGTGTGTGTGTGTTTGTGTGTGTGTGTGTGTGTGTGTGTGTGTGTGTGTGTGTGTGTGTGTGTGTGTGTGTGTGTGTGTGTGTGTGTGTGTGTGTGTGTGTGTGTCACGTCACTGCGTCCTCCGCCGGTTCCTCCCGTCGCCTCTTCTTTGTTCGAATGTTTTTCAATCCATCCTTCACGAAGCCCTCCCATGTAGCTAGCGTTCTTGGCGAATGTCTCGAAATGGCCAGCAGGCGCTGTCTGCTCGCGGTCTGTGCGGGCCGCTCGTCCTCCTCGCCCTTCTTTCGTCCTCCCGTCCCTCCCCTCCACCATGGCCTTCTCGGCACTTCTTTCTCCATCCGCCTCGCCCTGCCTTTTCGCATCGTGCCGTTCGCCCTCCATTCGGTGACCTCCTTGGCTGTCCGCCCCTTTTTGGGTGGCGCTCTCGATACGGTTGCGTCAACCTCGACGTCGCTGTCGCCCTCCCCGTCCCCGCCGGCGTCCGTGCTTCGGTTCGCGTCATCGGTAGCGTCTCCGTTGTTCCCTCGTGCCCCGCCGTCGCCCTCTCTGCTCGGGCCGTTAGCGATTTCGCTCCTCCTGCGTGGGCGACCTGAATGTTGGACCCTGTGGGGTTGCGCGCCGCGCCTGCGTCGCAGCCTCCAGGCCCTCCATCACGAACGCGACGTTCTCGCGTAGCTGCGCGTGCGGGTAGTCCGCGCGCTCGGCCTCGCTCGCAGCCGCGCGCTGCCTCGCCGGCCTCCTTCGCCCGGCGCGCCTTCTGCCGGGTCTTCTTGGCCCTGCGAGCCGCGGCCTTTGCCGCAAGTTGCTCCTTGGTGAGCTCCTTTTTCTTCGGCGCGGTGCGCTCGATGTACGAGCGCTCCGCCGCCTGCACACCGACTCGCGGTCGCCCGCGGGGCCTTCTCGTGCTTCAGGTCGACCTCGATGGTCGCGTAGCCACGTGCCACGAGGCTTTAGAGTATCACCCTGACACAAGTGACGCACCGAACAACTTTGCGACACTCACTGCGTCCTCCAGTTGCGCGCGATCGGAGCGATTCCAGGGTCCGCTGCGCCTCCCCGGCAGCACGACGGTGGCCGGCGCTTGCCGCTTGCGCGCCAGCCCCGTCCGCCGGTTCCGCGGCCGCGGGGTCCCTGTCATAGAGCCGTAGCTACGCGCGCCATTACGGCTTAAGCGTTTAGGCGACGTGCCAAAAAAGATCAACCGACCTTGTCGTATTGTATGAGGGAGATCGCGCGCTCGCCTTTGAGCGCGGCTGCCGTCTCGATTGGGTGGTCGGCGGCATCGCCAAAAGCTCTCACCAACCACCGTGGTCCATGCGGGACACCGACACGAGACCGCGACTCGAAACGAAGCACGACGCCAAATGTGTCAAGACAACGGGCAGGGCGCCAGGGGAGAAACCTCCCAGCGTACACGGGCGCCCAGCCGTTCCTTCGTGCCCCCCCTCGGGACTCCGCCCGGCGGCCAGCCTCTGTCACTGGCCAAAGGTCGAGCCGGCGCCTCGCACCACGGCGGCGGGCTTGAGCGACGGCTTGCTGTCGCGCGGCGAGGCGAAGCCCTCGTCGGCCAGCTTCATCATCATGTCCGAGTTGACGATCAGCAGCTGGTTCATCTCGCGGTCCCGCTCGGCGACGCGCGCGCGCAGCTCGTTGACCTCGAGGCGGAAGGGGGGGGGGGGGGGGGGCTACTTGTGAGTCCGGGCTCGGTAGCTGCAGTGGGCAGGGAGGAGGGCACAAATATGTCACCTCGAGGAAGAGCGCGAGCTGCTCCTCCTTGGCCTGCGAGAGGTCGCGCTGGCAGACGGCGAGCGCGTCGCGCAGCTCGGCGTTCTCCTCCTCGAGCAAGTCGAGCTCCTCCTCGTACTTGCCGCACTTCTCCTGGAGCTCGTAGTTCTCCTCCTCGAAATCGTCCCGGTCCTGGATCGCCTCGTTCAGCTCCGCCCGCATCTCCTCCAGCTGCTCCTCGTCGCCGACCGACGAGTCGTCGTCAGACAGCGCGCGCGCGCTGCCCGCCACGCTGCCCGCCACGCTCGCCACGTCGATCGCCGCCTGCGACAGCCAGTCCGGCTCCGCCTCCGCCTGCAACGCGTCCACCTCGGCGCGCAGCCGCGCAGCCTGCCCCGCCAGCTCCGCATCCTCGGGCACCTCTGCGGCGGCGGCGGCGGCCGCCGCCGCCTCCGCCGCCAGCCTCGCCGCCTCGCGCCGCTTGACCCGCCGCCGCAGCGTCTGCTGCAGCAGCACCGCAGACGAGCGGACCGAGTGGAAGTTGCGGCGTGCGGAGCGGCCGCGCGTGCGCGCCTGCACGGTGGCGAAGCACTTGGAGAGGTGCCTCGCACGCGCAGCCTCGCAGCGCGCAAGCACGCCCGAGCGCAAGAACACCACCGTCTTGCCGAGCATATAATCGTCCGGCGCCAGCTGCAGCAGCTGCAGCAGCTCTGCCGCCTCCTCGCGCGCCGTCGAGCCCTGGCCGCTGTGCCCACCCTCCTCCCCGCCGCCGCCGCCGCCCACCCACGCCGACGCGCGCTCGCCGGTGCCCCTGCGGCGCAGCTTGCCCGCCCCTCCCCCTCCTCCGCCGCCTCCGCTTGCCCCTGCGGCGGCGGGCAGCCTCGGCCGCAGCATCGCGTACCTCGAGAGGAGCTCGTCGAAGGGGATGCGGGTGGGGAAGCCGGCCTGCGAGACCCGCACCGCCTCGAGCACCGCACAGCAGCGGAGCTGCGCTAGCGCCACCGCGGGCCAGAGCACGAACGGGCCCCGCACTTCGTTTGGCTTGATGCACCTCACAAAGTGGCTCTGCGTGGCGCCGAGCGTGCCGACGAGCGAGGCAATGGACCCGCGGAACTGAGACCCCACCGACACGAACTGCGTCGCCCGCTTCTTGCCGCCGCCACCGCTACCGCCGCCCCCGCCGCCGGCGCGGCGCGAGTGGCTCACTCTGCGTGCGGGCCCCTCGTTCACGTTCGTGGCGGTGGGCTTGCCGGCCGCCGCCGCGCCGCCGTCGCCCGATGGGGCCTGCTGCCGCCGCTGCTCCGCCGCCTCGGAGAAGAGCTCCGCTACAAAGGGCGAGGCCGAGGCGCGCATGGTCGACGGTAGCTCCGCGAAGAGTGCGTCCTTGTTCTTGGAGAGGAAGCCGGCCACCGAGTACGTGACGCGGCCTCCGAAGTGGCATATCGTGAAGGCGCGGTCGGCGCCGATGCGGGGCGTGCCTGCGAAAGGGGCCCGAGACGGTTCAGAGACCAGTCCGAGAGGGTTCCGAGAAGGTTCCGAGGAGGCGATGCGGGGCGTGCCGTATGACGCATGGCCGTCGAAGGAAGAGTGCAGCGCGGCCGTCAGCGACGCGTCGGTCGCGCCCGCCTGCAGACACTGGTCATCGAGGACGGCGAGCACGGAAAGGGGCTTGCCTTCGAGCAGCGCGATGGTGGCCGCGTTGTCGGTGTACTCGACCCGGTCCACCGCGATCCCCTCGCGCAAGTACTCTGCCTGCAGCAGCGTGATGGCCGCCGCAGTGAAGTGCGCCTGCAGCTTCTCGTTCGCGTAGTTGATCAGCAGTTGCTCGAAGCCGTTGGTGGCGAAGATCTCCGAGCCAAAGATATCGAGGATGCCGATCCCTGCCGAGGAGGCCGCCGCCGCCCCGCGGCCACTTCCCTGCCCGACGGCGGCGAGAGAGCGGTTGAGGGCAAAGATGATGTGGTCGAAGAGGCGCTCGTACAGCGCCTTGGCGAGAGCGTCGCGCGAGGCGCGCGCTTCGGGCAGCTTCTTGCAGATGACCATCTCCTCGCCGCCGGCCGAAATGGTCCTCGAGTTGAGCGCCGTCAGCAGCTCCGCGTCGCCGCAGCCCAGCAGCCTCGCCGCAAGCCGTAGCGCCGCCACCGCCCCCTCCCCGTCGAGCTCAAGCGAGCCAGGCGGCCCTGCGGGGGCGCCGGCGAGCGGCGGAGCGGCGGCGGCGCGGCCTCCCGCCACGCCTCCGCCCTTGCCCTCCTCCTCCGCGGGCTCGCGGAACTCGATGTCGCCTGTGCACGGCAGCAGGTGTGAAGAGACGCCGTTCACACCTCCTCCTCCGCCGGCTCGCGGAACTCAATGTCGCCAAGAGTGAGCACCGCAGCCACCACCGCCCACACCGCCTCGGCGGAGCCCGCGGCCGCGTCGCCGCCGCCGCCGTCGTAAATGGCGGTCAGCGCGGCGTTGGTCGCCTCGAACTCCGCCGCATCGTCCACGCCGTCGACGAGGAGGCAGCCTCCGGCACTCAGATAGCGGTACGTGCCCGCGCCGCGCAGCCCCAGCCGCACGGCGAGGTCTGCGGCGGGCGTGCCTGCCCTTGCGCGGCAGCAGGACGCGAGCTGGTACGGCGCGTGGTACGACCGCTCGTCCGCCTCGGGCGAGACGACGCGCGACTTTTCGAGAAGGAAGCGAGAGATCGACCCGCCGGTCAGGGCGCCCGTCGGAGAGAAGCGAAGCTGCAGCAGCTTGCCGAAGCGGGACGAGTTGTGGTTGCGCGTGGTCTTTGCGTTCCCGAACGCCTCGAGCAGCACGTTGGACGCGTCGAGCTCCGCCTGCAGCACCTCGCCCACCTTGGTCGTGCCTCCTCCGCCACCCTTGCCCGCCGCGGACGCGGCAGAGATGAAGAAGGACAGGATGATCTTTGCGCTCTCCGTCTTCCCAGCGCCAGACTCGCCGTTGATCACGACCGACTGGGAGCGGCCGCGCGCCGCCATGTCGTAGTACGCCGCGCCCGCCACCTGGTACAGGTGCGGCGGCAGAGCAGGCCCGTCCCGCTCTGCGGCAGCGGCGGCCGCGGCGGCGGCGGACTGGTACGAGCGCATCGTCGCGGCGTCATAGAGGCCAGCGACCTTGGTGAAGGGGTTGATCGCGACGAGGACGGGCCCGGCGCGCGTGTAGATCGAGCGCGCCGCGTACCGCGCCATCACCACCCGCAGCAGCGAAGGCTCGTTGAGGTGAGACAGCGCGCCGACGTCATCCACGCCGTCGAGCGTCTCGGGGTTGGCCGGCACGAGGGCGGCGGGCTTGACCCAGACAGGCTTGGCGCTCACGTCGCCGCCCTCCACCAGGCTGACCAGCACCATGTCCGGCGACGGAGGAGCGGCGTCCTCTGGCCGGCGGCGCTGCACGACTCCGAGCGTGAAAGGAAGCGCCTCGTCGTCGTCCTCTGGCGGCGCTCCGGCGGGCGTCTCGCTGATTGGCACCCAGACGCGGGCGCCGGGAGCGGCCACGTCGCCGTCGGCGGCGGCGGGAGCTGCCATTGGGGGAGGCTGGGGACGGGAAGAGCTAGCGGCGGTCGGCTGTGGACGCGCCGTGGCGGCGGCTAACTCTGTTTTTGAGGTTCGTTCACAGCCTTGAGCAGCGCTCTTGAGCACTTGAGCGAGAGATGGGCCCAGGTAGGAGGCTCCACGCCACCTGACTCGCGTCGTGCCACCTGACTCTCGCCTGGAGAGGCCTCTTAGCCGAGGCACACGTGGCAATCGCCACGTGCGCCAACAGGGATTTCGGCCATTTTAGAGCCTTTTGCACAAAAATGCAGGTGGCTTTAGCCACTTGCTCCATGAGCAAAACAGTGCAAAAAGCACCTGGAGCAGATGGCTTACGCCGCCTGTGGACATGGGCAAAACAGTGCAAAAAGCACCTGGAGCAGATGGCTTACGCCGCCTGTGGACATGGGCAAAACAGTGCAAAAAGCACCTGGAGCAGACGGCTTACGCCGGCTGTGGCCATGGGCAAAACAGTGCAAAAAGCACCTGGAGTAGATTCCAAACGCCGCCTGTGGCCATGTGATGCGCTCGGGTGGCGCCAAGGGCTTCGGCCCCCTCCACGCGGCCGGCCGGGCGAGAGGCTTGACACGATCCGACCCTGCGACCCTGACGCTGCTGCTCTAGCTATCAGACATGCACGGCTGACTGCTGCCACAATGTGCGACCTGTGCTGGCCCACTTGGCGGCCTTCCCGGTCAGTGGTGAGGCGCAGTTCAGAGCTGTCGATGGCGCGATGCCGCACTGGTCCCACATTGGTGACACGAGACCACCAAGTTTGCCAGTCCAAGAGAGAGGCACCGGCGCTGTCCTGTGAAGGTGCGTGGTCCCTCCTGACTGCCCATGCGCGCGAGGCTGTGTAGGCATAGCCTCGAGAGTGCCAGCAGCCAATCCGAGGCGACGCGCATTGCGCCAGAAGCGTGCACACGATGGAAGGACACCTTCCTACTGGTCGTAGAATCAGGTCGTCACTGAATGCTTGATACTAAGGCCGCGAGCTATGCAGGTGATCAATTGTGCATCATGGCACGGTCAGCAGCGCCGACAGGCTGTCGCAAGGCGTGATAGCATGGCCGCAAGTACGCAGAATTCCCATGAAAACAAGTAAAAATCGCGAAAAAAAGAAAAAAATCCCGAAAAAATCGGCGCCTGCGGCGGGCCGTGGGAACCCATCTCCCCCCCGCATGGACACCCTCTGGGGGCCCCGCGCCGGCCCAGAGTTGAGGTGCGAGCCCTGGAGGCCCTGGGAATGTTCACAGCAGGGTTTTATAGCGGCTCAACACGCTCATCGCGGCTCGTCGAAATCGGAAGGCGTGGACACGCCGTGGTGGCCTCTAAAGGTAGAGAACAAAGAATTTTAGAAAAAAAGAAAATGGCATCGTTCGACCTTCTGAGATTAGAGCCGTAGATCCCCCCTAGGTTCTAGAGACGCGCGCAAGGCGCTCACCCTGGCAACCCGCGCACTCTGAAGAGACGGCGCGCCTGGACGTGAGTCGGGAGCCCACGGTTGGGCTACACAATCGCAATCCCGCGATAACTCAACACAACCGCAAGTCGCGCCCTGGCACAACCGTGACCTCAATCCCGCGACCACGCCTCGATCTTCTTGGGCAGTAGCTGGTTCGACAGGTCCTCTCCGTGGCCTAGGCAGCCGTGCTCGCCCTTGCCCCAGGCAAAGACAGCGCCATCCGTGGTGCGGGCGAGGCTGTGCCATGTTCCAGCCGACACGGAGTTGACGCGCTGGCCAGCCAAGGCCTCGATCTTCTTTGGCAGCAGCTGGCGCTGCTCGTTGCCGTGGCCCAACTGGGCGAAACCTCCCCCGCCCCAGCTCCAGATGGCTCCGTCAGCGGTGATTGCCAGACTGTGCTGCCACCCAGCCGACACAGCGATCACGCGCCGCCCCGCCAAGGCCTCGATCTTCTTCGGCAGCAGCTGGTTTTGCTCGTCGCCGTGGCCTAACCGGCTTTGGCCTCCATTGCCCCAGCTCCAAACGGCACCGTCGGCGGTGACGGCGACGCTGTGGGATGCTCCTGCCGACACAGCGACGACGCGCCTGCCAGCCAAGGCCTCGACCTCCTTGGGCAGCAGCTGGCTGTACTGGTCGCCGTGGCCCAACTGGCCTTCGTCTCCGTCGCCCCAGCTCCAGACAGCGCCAGCGACGGTGAGGGCGAGGCTGTGGTTGTCTCCTGCCGACACAGCGACGACGCGCCTGCCAGCCAAGGCCTCGACCTCCTTGGGCAGCAGCTGGCTGTACTGGTCGCCGTGGCCCAACTGGCCTTCGTCTCCGTCGCCCCAGCTCCAGACAGCGCCAGCGGCGGTGAGGGCGAGGCTGTGGCTGCCTCCAGCCGACACAGCGAAGACGCGCTGGCCAGCCAAGGCCTCGATCTTCTTGGGCAGCCACTCGGTCAGCGCGTCGCCGTGGCCCAACTGGCCTCCCTCGCCCCAGCTCCAGACAGCGCCGTCGGCAGTGAGGGCGAGGCTGTGCCATGTTCCAGCCGACACACTCACAGCGCGCTCAACGCCCAGCGTCGAAGGGAGGCGGGTCGGCGTGTTGAGCCGCGTCACACCCTCGCCGTGCCCGAGTAGTCCCGGCTGCCAGCTCGCAGCCTTGCCGCACGACGAGAGCCGCCCCTCGCCGTCGATGAAGAGGCTGTGAGTTTGCCTGCCTGCCGCCGCCCTCACCGGCGGGTTGGACTCGCACAGCAGCGCCGAATAGCACAGCCACCGCACGGCGCAGCCCTCGCCCTCTGGCAGCGCCGGCAGCTCGTAGCCGCGCTCTTGCGCCCACAAGCGGATGGCCTCCACCGCAAGCGAGGCGTGGAAGAGCAGCGAGACGGCCGCGACGCGAGCGATGTCGGCGGGGTCGCAGCGGGAGAGGGCGCGCACGAGGAGCTCCGTGGGGAGGTCGAGGAGGCGGGTGGGCGGCGGCGTGTCTGGAGAGGGGGCAGCGGTGGAGGCGGTGGCGAGGCGGCGCGAGCGGCGGCGCGGCAGGGCAGACATAGGAGCCTGTGAAACGCGAGGCAGTCGCCAGGCGGCGCGAGACGGCGGCGCGGGGCAGGGGCGGGGAGCCCCCCCTTCCCCGGGGGGGGGGGGGGGGGGGACATATGTTATCTCGCGACAAAGAATTTGGGGACATTTCGCGCCTTTCTTCAATGTCGGGCCTTGTCTCACCCAAAAACTCGGTGGGGCACACACCGGAGGGTTTCCACATCGCGAGAAAAAGAATTTCCAGGTCGAGGCTTCTGGGTGCTCAGAGCCCAGACCGCCCTCCCCGCCCTCAGCACGCTTTCTCCTCAACGTGGAGATTCCAGAGCACATGTTCGGCGACGATGAGATCCTGGAGTTGTACCAGGTCCGAGTCTCGCCCCTTCCCCGCACTCACACTGCTTGCGGCTGCTTCCATCACAGAGCGTGGGCTGTTGGGCGTCTACCCGGCTCGGAAGGGGGTAGTGCAACGATGATTGCTCGAGAGTCGCCTCCTGATATTCACCTCTCCCCACCACGCCTCGTCCTGCAGCAACACAAGGATCTGCAGGAGCAGTTCAAAGAGGCGCACAAGGCGTCGGAGCAGTCGAGGTCGCAGCTAATCTCGCCGGCCGAGATCAAGAAGGCCATTGTCCAGATGGAGGAGGACAAGGAGCAGCTCGAACGCAAGGTCGAGGCCGCGCTTTGGCTGTTGCCCCGCTCACCGCCTCCCGCTTCGCTGTTGCTTCCCACCTCCTTGCACCTCACGGCAGCCACCCACTCAACTGTGTGCCGCCCGCTTCCTCCACCCTGCACCCCTCGCAGCTGCTCTCCCAGCCCCGCCCTCCCGCCCCCCTCGGCCCCAAAGGTCGAGGCGCTGCACACCAAGCTGCACGGCAGCGACGGTTTCGAGCCGATGTTGCGCGAGGTTGGCGCGTTGCGTGTGGAGCAGGATGAGCAGCTCAAGCTTGCGGAGCGGATGAAGGAGCAGCGCTCGCACGCCTACCAGGCCGAGCAGCGGCTCGAGCAGCTCTCCCGCGCACTGGCTGGCAAGAAGGCCGAGGCGGGCGTGAGCGACTTGGGCCGTCTGCTGCAGAAGCTCGAGGCCGAGGTCGCGGCGATGAGCCGGCGGGCGCACGAGGAGCTGCCGCGCGCGATCGCGCAAAGGCAGCGATGCGACGGCTGCAGCAGGAATATCTGAGAGCGGCGGCCCTTTACCGTGGCAAGCTGTGAGCAGGCAGCAGCGGCACGACGAGCTGCAGCAGGTGCTCTCGCTTCCCGCTGGAAGCGAGTCGGACACGCGCGAGATGCTGCAGCACCGGCAGGGGCTGCAGCGCGCCATCCGCGAGCTCGAGGTTTGAAAGAGTATGACTCGTCCCCGCGTTCTCACCTTCTGACGGCGCTTCTCCCGTCCTCCCTCGGGCAGGAGCGAAAGCGGGCGACGGCCTCCGACCCAGACGACCGGCTAGCAATGTTCCGGCAGCAAGCGTCCCTGGTTGCCAAGAAGCGCGAGCAGGTGCGGCAACGGCTCGAGGCGGTGCGGCGCGACAAGGCGAACGTCGACGCCGAGCTCGCAAGCAAGGCGCGCGGCGCCCTCGACACTCCCTTTGCTAAGAGTCTCCAACCGGGACGCGTTCGACTGCTCGGCTGCCTCAACTCTCGCCCCCCGCGCCCAAAGGCGGCAGAGGTGTCGCAGCTGCCCGACCAGCCCGTGCTGCGGGGCGAGGAGTTTCGCAAGTGCGCGGTGGTGCACTCTTCTAGCGCGGCCTTCAACGGCGCGCCTTACGCCTCTGCGTGTGGGCAGGTACGCGGCGGAGCTGCGCGGCAAGACGGCGCAGTACAAGCGGATGAAGGCGGAGCTCGGAGGGCTGCGCGCCGAGTGGGGGACGCTGTCGCGCACCGTGAGCTTGCTCGCAGGGCAGGACAGCTCGGTCACCTCGCAGCTGTCTGCGGTGGAGGCCAAACGTGGCGTGGCGGGCTTTGCGCAGACGGAGGAGCAACTGCGGCAGGCGGAGCAGCTCAAGGCGGAGGTTGACAGCGCCAAGGGCAAGACGCTCGAGGAGATCTCGCAGGTGGTTGAGGAGATCAACAGGCAGATCAAGGACAACAAGACGCGTCTCGCGCCGCAGATCAAGTCGTTGCGCACGCTGCGCGCACAGCACGGCGAGATCGAGGCGCGAGAACGCCCCGAGGGGAGTTGTTTGAAGGCAGCGGTCCCCACGTCCCAGCCCTGGCTAGGCGGAGTATCTCGAGAAGAAGGGCGTGTACGACAACATCAAGGCGAGCTTGGACAACCCCCCCAGAGTGGCGAAGCGCCCTTTCACCTGTGAGGATGGGGATAGGCGGGCTTCGATAGCGAGCTCACCAAGCTGCAGGCGGGCTTCGGGCGGGGAGGAGGGATGCGGAGCGTCCCCTCACCAAATCATCTGTAAACAGGCGGACCTCGACTCGGCTGAGAAGGAGGCGCAGCAGGAGGAGTCGTCCTGCCACTACTACGACACCCTCTCGGCGGGATTGCGTGCCGCGCAGAAAATCGCTGGTAATGCAGGTTTTGTGTTCGACACCCGATCCTTTGCGGGTAGGCGATGGAGCGAGTGAAGCTGCAGCGGATAGCGGACGAGAAGGAGGGCCGCGCCCTCCGGCGCGCGATGCCCGACGGCGCCGTCGTCACGACGTACCGCGAGCTGTACGAGCGGCGGATCAAGGAGCAGGAGGCGCAGCAGCGGGAGCTGCGCGAGCGGCAAAAGGTGCGGGATGGGGACGGAGCCGCGGCGTGCGTGGCGTCTCTTCATGGCGCGGGCCTCTGTGATATAGGCGCTCAAGGAAAACCACGTACCCAACAAGGAGCAGATGCAGCTCTTCCGGGACCTGAACAAGCTGCTGCGCTGCAAGGTGGACCTGCAAAAGGCGGCGCGCGCCGAGGCGGCCGACATGGCGGCGGCGGAGCAGCAGGAGTCGAACGTGCTGTCGTTGGGCAATGACTGAGGAGGAGACGAGGATCTAAGTTTTAGTGCTAGAGTGTGACAGCTTACAAAAAAAACTGTGCTGCCCGCCGGTGACTCTGCAACGGAAACTCAACCCTCGTGCCACAGGCACAACCGTGACCTCATTCCTGCGCCCACGCCTCGATCTTTTTGGGCAGCAGCTGGTTTGACAGGTCCTCTCCGTAGCCTAGGCAGCCGTGCTCGCCCTTGCCCCAGGCAAAGACAGCGCCATCCGTGGTGCGGGCGATGCTGTGCCATGTTCCGGCCGACACGGAGACGACGCGCTGGCCAGCCAAGGCCTCGATCTTCTTTGGCTGCCACTGGTCCTCCTCGTCGCCATGGCCCAGCTGGCCATACGCTCCCAAGCCCCAGCTCCAGACGGCGCCGTCGGCGGTGATTGCGAGGCTGCGGTTGCCTCCAGCCGACACAGCGACGACGCGCTGGCCAGACAACGCCTCGATCTTCTTTGGCTGCAGCTGCTGCTGAAAGTCGCCGTGGCCCAGCTTGCCAAAGCCTCCCCAGCCCCAGCTCCAGACGGCGCCGTCGGCGGTGATGACGAGGCTGTGGTTGCCTCCCGCCGACACGGCGACGGCGCGCTGGCCGGCAAAGGCCTCGATCTTTTTGGGCAGCAGCTGGTTCTGCTGGTCGCCGTGGCCCAGCTTGCCAAAGGCTCCCCAGCCCCAGCTCCAGACGCTGCCGTTGGCGGTGAGGGCCAGGCTGTGGAAGTATCCCGCCGACAAAGCAATGACGCGCTGGCCAGCAAAGGCCTCAACCTTTTTTGGCTGCCACTGGGCCTGCTGGTCGCCGTGGCCCAGCCGGCCATAGGCTCCATGGCCCCAGCTCCAGACGGCTCCGTCGGCGGTGAGTGCGAGGCTATGGTCGCGTCCAGCCGACACAGCGATGACGCGCTGGTCAGCCAAGGCCTCGATCTTCTTGGGCTGCAGCTGGTTCTGCTGGTTGCCGTGGCCCAACTGGCCGTAGCCTCCAATGCCCCAGCTCCAGACAGTGCTGTCGGCGGAGAGGGCGAGGCTGTGGGTGTCTCTAGCCGACACGCTCACGGCGCGCTCACCCAGCATCGACGGGAGGCGGGTCGGCGTGTTGAGCCGCAGCACGCCCTCACCGTGCCCGAGTACCGATGGGTCGAAGGTCGGCGCGGAGCCGCACGACGAGAGCCGCCCCTCGCCGTCAATGAAAACGCTGTGCCAATGGCTTGCCGCCGCTCTCGCCGGCGCGTTGGACTCGCGAAACGCCGCAAAGCACACCCACCGCACGGCGCAGCTCTCACCCTCTGGCTGCGCCGGCAGCTCGAAGCCGCGCTCTTGCGCCCACAAGCGGATGCCCTCCACCGCAAGCGAGGCGTGGAAGAGCAGCGAGACGGCTGCGACACGGGCGATGTCGAGGGGGCTGTCGCAGCGAGAGAGGACGCGCTCGAGGAGCTCCGAGGGCAGGTCGAGGAGACGGGCGGGCGGCGGTGTGTGAGGCGAGGCGGTGGCGCCGGCGGAGGCGAGGCGGCGCGAGCGGCGGCGCGGCGGGGTGGACATCGCGAGAAAAAGAATTTTCATGCTTCTAGCGGTGTTTCGAAACAGATCTGTTTCCGTTTTGTTCTCACGGGTTGCCAACCTCGCGAGAAAAAGAATTTACCCCAACAAAAGAAATGTGCCGGCACATCGCGCGAAAAAGAATAAGAAATATCGGCGCCTTGCTTGCTAATAAATAAATAAATAAAACGGACACCTCTACTAGGAGATGGGTAAAAAGGAACAGGTCCCCGCCCTGCGGTCTTTGTGCAGGGTTCTTTGTGGGTGTGGTCGGCGACTAGCCGGGGTCGTCCTCCCGATGGGGGACTAGCACTAGCCGTCTTCCACATGGTCCCTCGGGTCCCTGCTGCTCCTAATCTCGTCGTACATCCTCCTGCTGATCTCCGCAAAGTCCTGCTCCCTCCCTCGTCTCGCCCTGCGCGTCTGCTCCGCCTCACCGTCTTCTGCCCTGCGTCGTCTGGCGACGGGTCCTCCATAGTCGGTCGAGGTCGCCGCCCTCCTCGTGCCTCTTCCCAACGTTCCCTCGGCGGCCGATGCCGTCTGCTCCGGCTCCGCCGTCCCCGGGTCTGCCCTGCCCTCGTCTGCGCTAGCTTCTGTTTCGTCATCACTGATGTCAAAAACAACAAAACAACAAGTGTGAGTGTTAGATTTGTTTGGTATTGCTAAAAATCTCTCTCTGATGTCCGTCCTCTTCTTTCTCCTCTTCTTGTATGCTTTGTACATCGCGTCGATTCCTTTTCGCGTGAGCACCAGCCTGAAGCCCGCCCAGCAGCTGAACCGTTCCCTAAGTCGAAGGAGCATCATCAGTCTCACCCACTTCGCTCGCTGCCCACTGTCTCCGCTCCCTCCCGCTTGAGCCGCCGTCGCGGCCCTCGTTCGTCCCACTGGCTGCTGGCCTGTCTGCACGTTACCTCCGTTATCCCTCCTCCTCCGCGACTCCCTCAAGGCCGGCCGAGCCTCCTTCCACCCAGTGAAGAGCTTCCTCAGCCACTCGATGTGTTCCTCTCTCTTCATTATGCGCGCCGTAGCCTCATCATTGAGCTGGATCCACCTCTGCACCGCTCCCGTCGCCGCCTCGGCCACGACTTGCAAGTTCCTCGTGACCCCGGCGCCAAGGTCCCTCCGGCTCTTCTCCGAGAGATCATCTACCAGCGCCGGCAACATGCTTGCTGAAACTTTTCTTCATATCTGGGGCCTCCGGCGCCAGTGCGAAGTCTAGTCGCCTACGGGCACGCCCTCCGGGCATACTCCGAACTCCCACACGACAACACACGCGCGGCCGGCGCCTCTCATGCCCTTCTCCACGCACACCGCGTGAAAACTGCGCGTACGTCCCCGCGCGCACGCAAACACGCGCAGCGCCATTTCAGAGCTGTGCCATGTGCGTCTGCCCTGTGCTGGCGCCCCATGGCCGTCCCGCGCCGCCCGCACCAGCTGCGCGCCCCTCGCACCACCAGAGCAAGCCGCACATCCACTCACGCCGCGACGCGCGCGCCGCAGCACACCTCACCAGCACACCTGCGCCTTTTTGCGCCCTGTGCAGGCTCTGCAGACTGCTTCTGGCATCCCACAAGCGGCTGTACTAGGACGCGCCGCGAGTCCGAGTGCGACGGCACCGCGCAGGCCCAGGCGCGCACGCACGCCCGCACGCGCGCTCGCTCATCCGCCCAGTCTGCTGTGCACAGCCTGTCAGCCTGCCTGCACACACAGCATACAGCACCATGTGCACGCATACGCTTAGACGCAGCCCGCACCCCACTACAATAGCCTGCCTCACGCCTCACCACGCCGTCTCGCGCACACCGCCAGCAGCCCGATCAGAGAAACTGCAGCGCGCGCCTCTGCACGCCTGCAGCTTCTCTGCATTCTGAGACCTTCTCAATCCACCCCGCCGCCGCGCCTCCCCGGGCACACACCGCAGCAGTGAAGATGTGAGTCGAAGTATGGGATATCGACCGAGCCCGCGCCTGCCGCACACGTTTCCGTTTCTTTTTACTGCCATAAGCATAAAAAGAAAAAACACCATGGCGAAATTCGTTTAACAAACAGCGACGACCAGCAGCAACGATTTACAGCAGCGTCCTGCCGAGTGTGTGTAGCACCGACGCAGACGCACCCCAGGCACTACACTACGACGGCTAGGCAGACCTCACCAGTCCGATAAGGATCAACTGGAAGGTTGAACCTCGAGCTTAGACAGAACGGGCGCGACAGACTCCAGGGGAGATCGCGCTCTACTCGGGGCACCAAGGAGGAAAACCGAAACCGTTTGGGTGCCCCACAAAAACCCAAACGCCACAACCCAAAAGTCACACCTCCCCCCCACGTCCCCCCCCCCTTGGGGACGTAGCGCACGCCCTTACTCGGAGAGAGTGGGGGGGGAGGGGGGGTGGGGGAATAGGAGGAGCCGTCGAGCTCGGAGTAAGGTCCACAGTAGAGAGACAGGCATTTAAGGCGTAACTTCACCCTCGCTCACCTTGAGTATATCTAGGCGCCCTGGTGCAGTCGGTCTTCGGATCAGCGGCCAGCTTCCCATCTAGGGCAGGGAACCCCCAGCGACGCTAGTGTGGCCTACGGTAGCCTCAGCTTGTACGCGATCCCGGGGCAGGGGGGTGTGGACTCTAGAGCTCCAAGAAAGGATAGGGAGAGGAAGGGAGATTGGTGTGCCGGTTTTTCGCGTTAGCAATTTTTTTTTCAACATGCTTGCTGCTTTCAAAACAAACAAACTTTTATGCACATACGAGAAGGCTGCTACACGGGACCGGCCCCCGCTTCGCCTTCGGCTGAGGGCTGACAAGCTGCCGAGCCCAAATCACTGTGAGGGTCGTGATTTCTTGTTGGCTTTCTAAAATCTCTCTCTCACATACGCCAGTCCGCACGCATTCGGCAATCGCCGCCCCAACCTTGATAAGGTCAGGGCAGCTATGTCCCCCCCCCCCCCCCTCGCCCCTTGCTTCAAAACAGGAGGGGCGACGCCCCCGCGGCGCGGCGAGGAGGCTTGCGCGCGCTCCACGCGCCGGGCGAGAGGCCGCCCCCGCCCCCACCCGAGGCCGACTCGCCTGCGCCGCCTGCCGCGCGCTCCTCCTCCTCCGCCTCCGCCTGCGCCAGCTCGGCCAGCTGCCTCGCCTCTCGGCCACGCGCCGCAGCGCACGCAGGCAACCATTCTGCCATCGAGTCGGCCGCGCGACACAGCCGCACGAGGCAGCCTTGCGCCGCATCCAGCCGCGGGCTGCCCGCCGCCGCAGCAGACTCGACGGCATAACCGCTCAGCGAGCCGAGCGCACGCCGCGCGAGCCCGGCGAGGCCCTCCTCCCCCTCCGCCTCCCCGAGCGCCGCCGCCAGCCGGTCCAGCGCGGCCGCCTGCGCACCCAACGCCTCGTCCCGCGCGGCGAGCCGCCGCCGCACGAGCCCAGCCCGCCGATCGGCGGCGTCGGCGCGCGCGCGCTGCGCCTCGACATCTCGCGCCAGCGCGGGTAAGGACACGTCGCGCAGCTGCGCGATCGAGTCTCGCGCCGTGTCGAGGGAGGAAGAGAGCTGCGCACTCCGCCGCTGCTCTGCTGCGAGCGCCGCCTCGAGTGCGGACAGCTTGCCGGGCAGCGGTCCCAGCTGCGCTCCGAGGGAGCAGGCCTGCGAGCACCACGCCTGCGCCGCCCGGTGCGCCTCTTCAAGATGCGAGTCGGCGAGCTCGAGCTCCGACGCCAGTGCCGCCCTCGCAACGCGACCCTCCGCGGCGGCCTCCTCCCCCTCCGCAACCGCGGCCTGCAGCGGCCGCCGCTCCGCCACCGCCCGGTCTGCTCTCTCCGCCGCCTCCGCCTCTGCCCGCGCCGCCTCGGCCGCCTCTGCGGCGCGGGCCGCCGCTGCCGTCTCCGCCACCGCCGCATCGGCTCTCGCCGCCTTCTCCTGTGCCCGGCACCGCTCCAGCTCGCGCCGCACTGACTCCAACTCGCTCCTCGCCGTCTCGAGCTGAGAGCGCAGCGTCGGCATGCCGGTCGGCTTGGGCTGGGCGGCGTAGCGCGACGGGACGCTCACGGCGCGCTGGTGCGCACCGTTGGACGAGACGGCACCGAGTGGGGCGCGGGTCATGACGGCCACACGGCCAGGGGGGCCGCTTCAAGGGGCTGAGAAAAAAAGAAATCCGAACGCCGAAAAGCGGCGGGCACGACGTCGCACCGCATGGCGGCCGCGCTGCTGATAAAAAAGAAGTCCATCGCCCCGTGCGCCGGGCGGCAGCACCGTCGCCGCCGCGCGTGCGCGCGCGCGGGGCGGCGCCGGAGCCCACCTGCTGGCGCCGCCGCGGCGCGACGCCCGGGGCGGAACGCGGGGTCGAGAAGACTCATGGCGAGGCTTCAAGGCAGCTCCAGAGCGAGCATCTTGACGCCAAGAAGCTCTCTGGCGACGAGGCGCGCGTTTTGTTGCTTGTCTTGGCTCATAAGGGTCAGACAAACCGGCCAACCCTTCGACCACAAGAACGGCCACGGCTACGTCAAGGCGCATCGCGGTTTCTACCACGACGCGATCTTTGTCAAGCGCAACAGCTTCAACCTGCTGCTCCACGAGACGTTTTCGGCGGCGGCTTCTCGCCCACCGCCGTTCTCAAGCTGCGCCACCTCGCGCGCAAAGTCGGGCGCGGCAGCGTCGACCGCACGGCCTACTCGCCCAAGTACTCGCTTTCTTTTATGTCCCACCATGCAGAGCGCATCTCTCTCTCTGTTGTGCGAGGCGTGAACCGCGCCATTCGCTCTCACCTGGCAACCCTGTCTGCACGTCTCGCGCGCGCGTGAACAGGGCATTGTTTAGTTCTTTTGTTTAAATTCTTTGGACGTGTGGGAGAGGTCGATCGGGGTGCGGCGGCGGGCACCTTCCTGACCTGTACCCGTCCCCTGGCGGGGGAAAGCTACGAAGGCCGCGTTCCGCTCGATGGCGCCCACACACACATCGCTGCGGACCACAGCGGCCGAGAACATCGTGTTGATCCCAGCCATCAACAAGAACAGCACGACTGGCTACAAGGGCGTGACCTACGACCGCAGCAGAAAGAAGTTTGTGGCACAGGTGTGGGATGGCGGCAAGCATGTCCACCTCGGATACTTCGCCACCGCCGAAGGGGCGGCCATCGCCTACGCTCTCTCGGAGTACGGCCGCGCCGACGCCGCCAAGCTGCTGCAGCCTCGCGCTGCTCCCACTGCCGCTGGCGCCGAGGTGATGGGACGACGAGGTGGAGGTGGAGGCGGAGCAGGAGAGCGATAGCGAGGAGGAGTCGGAGATGGAGGTGGAAGCGGCTGCCGCAGTTGCAGGCGTGTCCGCAGCTACAGCAGCAGAGGAGGAGGCGCTCGAGTGCGTCATTTGCTTGGACGACCTCAGCGCACACGCCGAGGCGCGCCTGCAGCCTCGCGACCCTAATGGCTGGGGCGCCACGCGCTGCTGCAAGAGCCTCTTCCACTACCGCTGCCTGCACACTTGGCTCAGCGACGACAGCGAGGTCGAGACGAGTCGAGGCATGGAGCCGATCAACACGGCTTGCCCTGGCTGCCGAGGCTTCGTGTCGAAGTCGGCGTCGCGCATGCTTTGTTAGAGTAGGGGAACACAGTAGACAGTACCTACACAGTATTCTCTTGGGACGTCTTGGAGTGGTAAAAAAAAATAGTTCCTGTTACGAAAAAGGGAGCTACCCGCTCCGGCGACACTAGGGACTCGGGCCTGATCCCGCACAAAACATCTCCACACTCTCTCCTCTCCTATGACACAACTCTCCGACCTTGGGCTAGATTCCCACATTTCACCACAAGCGCCAAACTGCTCCGCCGCGCGCTGCTTACAGCGTCAAGTGCGGCCCTTAGCTGAGTAGAACTCGAAGTGGGCGTCGAGGGGGCCTATAGTAGAGTGTGAGCCCGCGCGCTGCAAAGCTCGAGTGTGGGCGATGGCGCGAGCTGGGCCATGTACTAATTGCGTGTGACTGTTTCTGCCGTCTTTGAGGGGGCGTGGGCGTAGGAGTGGTGCTCTGCTACCCTTGCAGCCGAGCGCCTTCTCTCAGCTCCATTGCCTCTAGGGGGTTGTGGCCGTGGATTAGGCCCCCTAGCCCCCCTCTCCGAGAGCAGGCCTGTCCAGACTAGCGGGGTGTGGTGGCGTGTGCTTGTCGTGGCTCGCCTTGTGGTGGGAAGGTCGGGTGTCTGTGTGAGTGGGGTCGGTGGGACCTCATTCCTCGTCGCTTGCGCCATCGTGGCGGTGCCATTTGCTTTTGGCGGCCTCTGCTGAGCCGGGCGTGCCGCCGGCGGCCCGCTTTGCTGCTGAAGCAGGGCCCTTGCTCGGGACCGGAGTCGATGGCGCCTCGAGGTCCGACGATGGTACGCCTCGAGCCGCGCGCTCGGCGCGTGCCGCGCGCGCCGCAGCCATGCGCTGGGCGAGGTTGCTCTTCGGAGGCGACGCAGGCGCCACTCCCGAGCCGTCGTGCACGTAGAGGCAGCCAGAGCCGTTCGCGCATTTGGCGCCTGGGTCGAGCTCGAGCAGCGCTTCCGTCGCCGGCCCGAAGGCGCAGTTCGGGTACGGCATGCTGTGGACGCGGGCGCATCGGGGGGCGTCCAGCGAGGCGTTGGGGCATCGTCTTGGAGTGGTCTGCGGGTCCGCGTTGAAGCGTTTGCGTGTGTGTGTGCGCGCTTTTTCAGCTTCGTTTGGGGCTCTCCCTGGCCCCTGCTCCCCTCTCCTGCGCCCATCCCCCGGCGGCTCCGGCCGACACCGCGCCGAGGCCGTGGCGCCGCTGTCGCCACCGGGCCGGGGGACCGGGCCCCTCGCATGACGCCTCTCTTACCGTCCTGGCACGCCACTACACCGGGACCGGGGTTTACGGCGACCTCTCGTCCCTCTCCATCTCTTTTCTCACCCGTCCGGCCGCTCTGCAGATCAGCGGTGTGTGTGGCGATCCCATCGCCCTCGCAAAGAGAAGATAATACAGACGTGCTGTTTTTTCTCGTGCAGTTAGAGGGGGACACCCGCCTCTGCTCTATAGAAAGGGTGTGGATGCTGCGTTGAACAAAATCGAGGGACGCGACCCACTTCGCCACAGACGGTCCCGCGCCTCGCCGCTATGACGGGCACACGCCCCGCACCGTCCGCTGTGTGCCCGTCTTTGTCCGGAGTGAAAAGTCCAACGCGCTCGTCGGTGGCGGCTTCCCTCAACCTGCGCCGCGCTCGGCGAACCTCGACAGCGCTTTCGTGTGTCGTATGTTCCGAGAGCATGGCGACACAATGATGGAGCCCTGCGGACACCTTGCACTCTGCGGCGCTTGCAACAAGAACGGAAACCGCAATCGCGGCGATGCCACCTGCGTCCTTTGCCGCACGCCCGGTCGCGCCCTGCACTTCCCCAGCAGCAGATGGTCGGATGCGTCGCGAGTGAGCGAACCGTTCTTTTTTGGCCGCAAATTTTGGGGCGTGCTTGCGCCTGTGTGTTGGTGCGTGGGCCGACGTTTTTTTATCTCTGGGTCAGTGGGGGGCCGAGCCACCTCGGGGTGGCGGGCGGGCGGGCGTTTTGAAAAACAGAAAACAGAAAACAGAGGGGGGCCAGGGCCCCCACTACGATTAGACACAAGCACCAGGCTCCTGGGACAAAGGTCAAAGCGAGCAGCAGCAGCAAGCAGTTCAGCGGAGAAGGGGGGGGGGGGGGAGCCGTTGCGCAGCCAATGAAGCCCGCAATGGCCTCGCCGTACGAGCGCAGCTTCTTGGCCGAGAGGCGCGAGTCCAATGCCATGCCGCAATGGCTTTGCGCCGTGGTGGTCCTCCGAAGGAGTCTCATTGTTGAGCGCCTCCGTCTTGAAGCGGCGTGGCACGACGAGGTGGACGCGGCCGGCCAGTCGCAGCGGGCTCGGATCGGAGTCGTCAAACGGAAGCACGTATTGCAGAGCCGCGATTGCAGAGAGAATGCGCTGGCCCGAGGCATTCGCATCGAGGACTGGAAAGCTCAAGCCGTCTCGCTGCAAGTTCGACAGCAGCGCGCGAAAGAGGCGGTAATCGTAGCGGTCGCCGTCGGGCGCAGGCGGCAGCGCCCTCGGCGTCTCGGCCTGGGTTTGCATGAGTCGCAGGGGAATCCTCGGCGGTCGCCAGCACTTTGATGTTGCAGCCAAACATGTCTCGCAGAATGCCGACTGTCGTCTCGCCCAGATCCTCGTTGTCGAGGACGGTGCCGGTGCCCGAAAACTCCGTCGTCCGAAAGCACTTGACAGTGCTGGCCGTGAGCTTGCCAGCAGCAATCTCCAGCTCGGCTCTCTCGAGTGCGTCGCTGACGACAAGGGAGAGAGCCACCTCCGCCTCGTGCATGCGGCCCGATTGGTGATGCTTCTTGCCAAGCTCGACGCGAACGACGACGGGCACCTTCGGCGCCATGCCGGAAGGGGCACGCGCCTCTGAAGGTCGAGGCGCGTGGCTCAAAGCCGGCGCTGCGCGGGTGCGTGACCATCGCCGCTTTTGCTCGCCCAATTACATGTTTTTTGGATGCAGACGACCGTTTGGGGTCACTCACACCCGCACGAGGTAGGCGGCGCGCAGCGCCGCTCTCGCAGGCTGTTTTTGACTGTTTCTGCATTTTGTTTTTGTTTTCAGTCTAGGGGGCCCGACCCCCTCAGAGGCGGCGGGCGGGCGCCCACTGACCCAGAGATCAAAAACGCTCGGCCGTGGGCGTGTGACGGGCGTCTGCTTTGGTGTTGATCTGAGAAGGCGTTCAATCTGTGTGCGTGCTGTGTCTCTTAATATCGACCCCGTCGCGCCCCCCTCACTGCGAGAAGGGACGGAGAGGCGCGCGCCGCCCGCGCGCGGCTGCTGGCGCACTCGCGTGGCGTGGGCTCCCGCACCATGCCGCATGCGCAACTCCACATGCCTCCCTCCCGCCCCCCCGTTCCCCTCCCCCGTGCCCTTGCCCCCGTCTCCCCCTCCTCCTCTCTCTCCTCACAACACTACAGACCAGCGCGCCGACTCGTGAACACGTCCATGACACGTCCATGCCCCGCCACCCGGGTCGGCGCAGGCGGTGGCCTTTTACAGATCCAG